CCTCCCCATCAACCCCCCCCCTTTCTCCTCCCCCGGATTATCACTCTCCTACTCCGTTCTTTTCCTTTCTCTCTCTCTCTCCCTCTCTCTCTCTCTCTCACACACACACACTCTGATTCTTTCTGTCTCTTCCGCCATCTGCATCACGCCCTAGAATACCTCGACTCTAGTCGTACCTAGTCCTCCCCCACCATCCCGGTCGCAGAGTTTACCAGCGCTATCAAACTCTCTCTAATCGGTTTCCGACCTCGAAGCCACCGAAACCGTAAACGGCCCGAACGATTCGAAGGAGGGGCAGAAGAGAAAGAAGAAGAAAATCAAGCCCAGATTGGTATCGGAGTAACAAAATCAGGACGACAGACCGTCTCGACAAGCCATGCTCGCACAGTAGATTTCCCATCGTACCGTCCATCAACCGCCCCTCCAGCGTACACGACGGCACGGGCTTCACACCTGCCAAGGAAGGGTCTGGCCTCCCTGTAAAAAAAAAAAAGGCTGCAGTCCGTTCCTGACGACTGGTAAATCGGCAGCGTCTCGCGAGACTGCCCAACCCCTCATCATGGCTGAGGGACGCCCTTTCGTCCCGGACACGGCCCCCGTGACCGAGTTCGGTTCAAAGCGTTTCCACGACAAGATTGAGCAGCAGCAACACGATCCGCAGCATCATGTCAGCGGCACCAACGCTGCGCACCTCCCGAGCGGCTCGAGATTCATCCTCCCGGTGCGAGAGAGCAGGACCGATGTCGAAGCCGTCAAGCCCGAGCACAGACGCGAGAGGAGGGGCTTCTTCAGTCTCAGGCACAAGGTCTCGTTGCTGCACCACTCCAAACTGTCGCATGAGCCCGTCGAGCCCTCCACCCCCCTCCCGGCCACCTGCACCTTGACCGAGACGGCCGCCCGCAAGAGGTATGTTGCTGCATCTCCGTGTGACTCGGCGACGCCCACTGACCGCGCCATCTGCTCCAGCGTACCCCTCGAGCAGCAGTTCCTGGCCCTGCCTAACGAGCTGCAGAGCCACATCCTCTCCTACCTCCCCCTCCCCGATATCCTCACCCTCCGCCTCGTCTCCAAGCCGTGGAACACCCTCGTCACCATCCACGAGACCCCCATCGTGAGGCATCACCTCCAGCACTTCGTCCCCGCCTACGCCCGCCGCCTATACCCTGTCGGCAATGACGCTGCTGACCTCAACCTCCGCTATCTCTGTGGCCTGTGGCATCGTCTGCACGTCGCCGCCAAGCTCTCGTACATGATGAGCGAGTGGATCACCAGGGACATCTTCCTCTGTCGCACCGAGCTCCAGCGCCAGACCTTTGCTGGCCAGTACGAGCGCATGCGCCGCCGCCTCATCCCCCTCGTCTTCACCACCTTCCATTTCTTCGAGACGTACCGCAAGCTGCACCTGCAGTACGTCGAGGAGCACGGCTACGGCCTCAAGCGAATGCCCTACACTGTCAACCCTATCGAGCAGGAGATCATCGCCATGTACGACGACCAGACCCTCCTCCGCGTGCATGAGGTCTTCCCCCTCATCATATCGTCTTTCTGCCGCCGCCTGCGTCCCCCAACCTACGTCGGCAGAGTCGAGCGCTCCCTCCGCGGTTACATCCGGGAGGCGCCAGCCGACGATGTCCATGTCGCCATCCTGTGCATAGGAGGCATGCGCCAGGTTGAGAGGCTGTGGGAGATCAAGGGCTACAACAGCCGTCTGGTGTCGGTGGATAACTGGTACAGCTCGTTGACCAAGGAGGCGCCATCGTCGACATGGGGAGGATTGATGTCAGCAGCAGCGGCAGGAACGTCATCAGCCGACGCAGCACCCGCTACCAAGTCGCGTCGTGGCCTGATGAGCTTTGGCCGCAAGAGATCTGTGGGTGGCGAGTCGCGAGAGAACCACCACAGCCGCAACGGCGGTGAGCACAACCGGGCATCACTCAGCAGCCTCCATCGCACGAGGAGTCCGACAGGCTCCATGATGGAGGGCGTCGTCATGACGGACCCTAACACGGCGGCGGCAGCAGCGGCGGCAGCGACAGAAGCCGCCACCGCGACGCCCACCTGGACCCTGTCCTCGAGCCTCTCGGCCGCGACACCGCCCATGGGCGCGCTGGGACGCGACCAGGCACAGGCCCTCCTCAGAGACCTACCCCTGCTGCAGCAGATCTGGGTGTCGACGGCCGAGGCCACCATCCTTGACAGGAAGATTGTGCGGCGAAGCCAGGATATCAAGCGCAACCAGCAGGTCTTGCTGCACCTGATTCGCGAGGACACCCTCGAAGACGACGACGAGTGGGCGTACGGTCAGAAACTCCACGACTCTGTCCGACCACCTGCCAACCTCACCAATGATGAAGACGCAGATTAATCCTTGAATCCTTCCTCTCTCACACAACCCCTCTCTTTCCCTCTTGCCACACCCACCCTCCAACGACACGTTTCTACTTTCCATCGCTTTATGTTGTTATCTCATATACATGATACCTATTTGCCATGGATCCCCCCAAAAGGGATCTAACCTTCTCTTACATGCATCTTTTCTCTTCTTCTTACTCATTTCTACAATATCTTTTACAATTCTTATATATATCTCATTTGCATAACCTTGTCCAGAACAACAAAAAACGGGTGGTCTGTGTCTTTTCATCTTTTTTCTTTTTTTTTCGACCCTGTTCCTTCTATTCGTATCGTCTGATAGGCAGAATCCGCTTTGTTCCGCTTTCATATCCCTGACGATGAATATTGTGGGAACATAATTATACACAAGACTATGCATCCTTGGCGTTTTCTATTTATTTTACAACCATTTTCCTTTGTTTGGTATTTATTCTGGAGAGGTTGGGAAGGGTTTCCTGGATAGCCGGTTTTGTTTTTCCTCTTCTTTAAAAAAACAAGCGATTTATATATACTTGTTTCTATTCACGGGCAACTCTGAGTGGAAATGTTGTTACTTGCTAGACCTGCAGCTCGTCAAGACTCGGCATGTAGTCTCTCTCATATCTGAAGTGTGTTCCTTGCAATCGCTCGAGGTCGAGGTCGGTCATGTCATGTTCCACTCTTGATGAAATGGGTTCCATGATATAAATAATATTCCATAAAGGCTCCTTCTATATGACTTGCTATTCCAAAATAGTATTCGCTTGGTTTTTTTCTTCTTTTTTTCTTTCTCATTTGGTTCCTCCCCAACAAGTGTCCAAGGCTGATTGATGATGTTGATGTTGGAAAGAAAAGAACACCATCTCTTTTTTCCACAAGTGACTAAAAGGCGATTTTTTTGTAGTTTTTTTTTCTTATATATAAAAACAAGACACACTAATTCATAGATCCCGCAACATATACCATATAACATCCGTGCTTTTTTTTTTTCTTTTGGTTTGTTGTTCTCTCGTTTTTGCGATATAATACAGCGTATTTTCTTTTTTTGTGTTGTTGGTAAAACCCACCCTCTTTTTTTTTTTTTGTGTCTTGTTTCGCCCGTGAACAAACCAATGAAGGAAACGGAAACGGAAAAAAAATAAAGAAATAAGAAAAAGAAAACTCCTAATAAAAAAAAGAGATAGTAGATAGAAGAAAATAAAATAAAAAAACTCCCCCAAGGCTGGGTAGAAGGGGGATGAAGAAGAATATTGGTCCTGGGTACGATACAGTGCCGGCTGATTGCCCCAAGGAATTTTGCAACCCGAGAAACAAAAGAAAAAAAGAAAAAAGCAGACCCGTAACCTTTTCGTCTCTTTCTCCTTGTATGCTTGCTTTTTCTTCATCTTCTTGTCCTTTCCCATGAGAGGTGGGTGATCGTATGGAACTATGGTACATGGAATATAAAGAAGAGAAATACATGTAGCTCCCATGACAAAAAGAGGGGGAAGAGGGAGGAGGAAAAAAAAGCAGATATAAGAAAAAAAAAGGGACAAGGAGCGGGGATTTTTCTTCTTTCTTTTCATCGTCTGTTATTGAAAACGTCATACATGGAATCTTGCATGGGTCTGTCACCACCCATGGCGGCCGCTTGTAGATGAGGCGGTGGCTGGGCGCCGTAGCTGGGCGATGAGGCAGACCCCGGTCCCGGGCCTGGACCTCCTGGACCTGTTCCGCTGCCCGAGGTCCCTGGGTGATGATGCTGCTGCTGCTGGTGGAGTGCCGCGGCGGCGGCGTGGTTGCTCGTCATGGCGTACGGCATGTTCATGAGACCGTTGCCGCCTGCGTTGCCGCCGAATGCTGCCCCCGGCGGAGGCTGGTTCCCGAATTGGCCGGGACGTTGCTGTGGCGGCTGCTGCGGTCCGTAGTACCCTGGCTGCTGGGGCTGCTGCTGCTGCGGCATGCCGAAGTGCGGTTTGATGCCGTTCTGGTGTCTGGGGTTTGTGGCCTGTTGGGGCTGCTGCTGCTGCTGCTGCTGGGAGGGGAAGGCTTGCGGTGGCGGTTGCTGTTGCTGAGCGTGGTGAGGTGCTTGTAGCTGCTGTCGACGATACTGGTGCTGCGGCTGGCCCGGGGGGCTCTGGGCGCCGCCGAGACTGTGACGCGCGCCCGTGTCGCCTGGGCTGGGCCCCTCGGCAGACGCCTGTGCGTCCATGACCATGGTTGCCGGCGAAGGGTGTGCATCTCCCGAGAAGCGGCGTCGTTTCGGTTGCTGGTAGTCTCCTTGGAGTTGGGGATGTCCCATGTTCCCAAAGTGCTGCTGCTGCTGCTGCTGCTGTTGCTGCTGCTGCTGATCCGAGCTCCGCTTTCTCGACATGTCCATGGCGGCTGCCAAGTCATTTGGCATGCCGTCTGGTCGCGGTGTCGGCGCCGGAGGATCTGCCCAGTTTTGCGCGTGCAGGGAAAGCGTAGCCTCCGTGGTCAGCCCGGTCGGCCTCTGGCTGGGTTGGCCGTGCGGGAACGGCGCATGGAATTGCGCGTGCTGCGCATGCTGCGCATGCTGTGCGTTGGGCGTTCCCACCGGCGGCAGCTCCCGAGACACCGGTCCAGAGTTGCTGAGGGACGAGTCGCCCTCGTGATCCTGAGGGGCGTTGTCCGACGGGGGAGGTTTGGGGCGGTTCTTGGATCCCTTAGGCCGACCTCTCTTCCGCACACCAGGATTGCCTTGCGCATCTGTCGCCGAGCTGGGGTCCTGCGTCTGGTATGGGTCCTGTGCGAGCAGATCGTCCTGGTACTCTGGCCCGAGCCTCTGCCCCTTCTTCATGCCCTTGTCCCTGCGCGTCTTGGTGCTCTTGCTGCCCTTTGGCCGTCCCCTAGCACGGCGAACGGGGGTTTCGCCGTCTGCATCTCCAGACTGGCCGGTCGCCGCGTCTGCCTGCGAGGCATCCTTTCCCTCTACGTCGCCTAGTACCGATACGGAGCTGCCAGAGTATGGCATTGGCGGCGGCTGGGAGGGGTCTGTGGGAGGGAAAATCTCTGCGAGCCAGCTGATGATGAGCGCGCCGTTGCCATTGCCTCGCTCACTCGTTGGGAACGTGCCCGTGTCGGCCAGAGGTGGCGCGCCGGGGATGCCACCAAAGTACGCGACTGCCTTGCAGAGCTGGTCGACGACCATCATGGGGTGCAGGCTGCGCAAAAAGGTCAGCAGGCGGGCCTGCTCGGCCTTTACCTCGCTGGGCTGCATCCCCGGCATCCGGTAGGTGCTGGACGACGACGAGGCCGACGGCGGCATCATGTAAGGGTGGTTGGGGGAAGGCATCGCGCGCGAGGTCGCGTCGTACGAGACGTTTGGATGTGGCGGCTGCTGCTGCTGATCGGCGGGACTCGAGGGCCTCCAGGTTTGGCGGCCGCGCTTGAGAGGCTGGTAACCCTTGCTGTAAGCATCCATGGCGGCGGCCTGGGTGGCCTCGCTGGAGCGCTTTGCTGCCATGTCGCGCTCATCCACGGCCGACCTTGCGCTTGCTCTATCCATGTGCATAACGGAGAAGTTGCCATCCTTGATGCTAGTCTGGTTCTGCAGCTTTGTAGGGACGGGGTTCCTAACGCGACCGTCCCTGAAGTCGGTCGACGGGCCGTGATAGGGGTCCGCATTGGGGTTCAGGCTGGAGACGACGCCGCCGGCGGATGGGGTGTGGCTGGGAGTTCGGCCGGGACTCGAGAGCGTAGGAGCGTGGACAACGTCCCCGCCGGAGGACATGTCCATGAGAGATGTCGGGCCGCGGTTCAGGTGGGCAGACAGCGGCGTCGCCGAATGATGTGAAGCTGTGGATGCAGGAATGTCGGGAGGGGCGACGGCGGCGGCGGCGGCGGCGGCGGCGGCAGCAGAAGTTGAATCGTGTCGCGTGTCGTTGGCGCTCAGACGAGCTTCGAAATCGCCCGAGAGAATTCCGTGCGCGGGCGACGCATTCGACGAGCCGGATACTGCGGGGAGGACAGAATAACCAGGTCAGTTGACGAACGATGGCGGAGGAAGCCAGAGGGAGTAAGGCCTGATGAATGTCGGAGCCTGGAGGCGCCAGTATGGCATGACATGGGGGAGGGGGGGATTGAGGCAGGCTTTGCTAATATACATACACGGTGGGTCCGGAGGCATGATGAAGAAGAAATCCTGTGAGACTCTAGTCGTTGGTGCGCCGCCGGCATGCTCCCCCAATGGCTCTGGTCAACAAGGGACAAGTCGGGAATTGCTGGCGAAGGCGAGGAGCAACGAAGCGCTGGAGATGATTGTGTGTGGTGGAGCAAGGGTGGTTGTGGTTCAGGTCGGCGGCAGACTTGTGTGTGTGTGTCAAGGTAGCTAGCAGAGGAAATGACTGGACGGCGGATGACGACGACTTGGACCAAGAGGATCGAGACTTGATGACCGGGGTGCCGGGGTTATTGTCGTGGCGTGTTCTTTTTTTCCCTCTCCTTCTCTCCTTCTCTTCTTGCTTTGGTGGTCTAGGCGTTTTGGGTATCGAATGTATGTCGGTAGAGAAAAAAAGGCGAGAGAGGGCTTATAATAGTAGTAAAAACTGCTACAACCGCCCAAAAGGGTCGTTGCGGGCGCGTAATATAGATAGGGGAGTTGTCCAGAAGAGAGACGAGCAGTGAAGCCTCGACGGCCACCAGGACTGGTCGTCTTTGCTGCTGTCCGACGTGAGGAATAAGACGGGCTAGACGAGGGAAAAATGGAAGAGGAGGATGGATGCAGAAACAACGCGACGCAGATGTAGCAGCGCCATTTCGTTTCGCTTATTATTATTATTATTACGAGTAACAGCCTCTGCCCAGCGTGGGGTCCAGAACCCGCTGGTGCGCCACATGTACATGTACCTGTCCTGTCTTATGCGTGGCTGGGAAAAAAAAGAAAAAATGAACATCTGGTAATAGTACGGATTGCATAGTACTTATATGTGGCTTAGCAGATACATGTACATCCAACTGTGGCTTGACACTTCTGAGGTCACTCCTCTCGCTCTGTCGCCTGTCTCTAAACACCTCGAAATCGTCACCGACCTCATCCGGCCTGATCAAAGAGCAGCAAATCGCCGGTGACGAGGGATCCTTTCCAGGAATCCTACCTTTTGCCTTATATCCTCTGAAGCTTTTTTTCTCGTTTGGACTGCTTGTCTTTGATGACAGCCTCTTTCGCTCCCTCCTGAAGTAGTCTCCTCATCCGCGCCAACCCCCCCCCCCCCCCCCCCCCCCCCCCCCCCCCCCCCCCCCCCCCCCCTTCCAGCTTGACAACCTCCAACGCATACACAACCCCGCCACGATGCCGTCCCGGTACGCCTTTGTGTCGCTCCCCCTCGGGGCTTTTGACTCGAGCGACAGGGAAGATGCAATCTCCTCCCTGAGCGCCACCGTTTCCGACAATGGCACCGTCCAGGCTTTCAACGTCCCCGATTTCAAGATTGGCACCCTCGACGCCCTGGTCCAGCAGGCTGACGACCTGGCTAAGCTCGAGTCCGTCGCCGAAAATGTCGTCAGCAGGGTCTCCGAGTCCCTGTCGAGCATCCTCGGCAACGACGCTGACCGTCTGGCCCAGTACAAGATGGTCAACGACAGTCAGTCTTTCTCTTCTCTCCGTCAGGGCTCCCCTTCATTGGCTGACAGAACGACAAGAACCTACCGAACATTACATCAACAACTTCTCGTGGAACAAGATGCGGTACCGCGCCGACAAGTCTCTCGGCGAGTTGATAGATACCCTGTCAAAGGTCGGTCCTACCCTCCCAATTGAGAATGGGACATGGCGCGAACGGGTGCGGGGCACGTTGGCTGACAAGCTACCTTTCAGGAGCTCACGACGGTCGACACCGACGTCAAGGGCAAGATTAGCCAGTACAGCTCTGTCAAGACGAACTTGGCCGCCCTTCAGCGTCGTCAGACGTAAGAACCTCCCCCCCCCCCTTCACACTCTCGGACCAGCCGACTCGACAGGCACTGACAGATGAATACAAAAAGCGGCAACCTGGCCACCAAATCGTTGACCCCCATTGTCGACCCGTCACTCCTGGTCCAGGAGTCGGAATACATTGAGACGCACCTGATCGTCGTCCCAAAGAACGTCAAGAAGGAGTTTTACAAGTCGTACGAGGAGCTGGCGCCCATGGTGGTGCCCCGGTCCGCCATCGAGATCGCCACCGACGACGAGTTCGTACTCTTTGGCGTCGCCACCTTCAAGAAGCACAGCGCCGAGTTCATCCAAAAATGCCGCGAGGAGAAGTGGACCCCCCGCCAGTACACGTACGTCCAGGGAGGGCGCGAGGAGGAGCAGCGCGAGCTCGACAAGGTCACAAACGAAGAGCGCAAAGTCTGCGGCGAGGCCCTGCGCATCGCTCGCACCGGATGGAGCGAGGCCGTCATGGCCTGGATCCACGTCATGACCTTGCGTGTATTTGTCGAGGCCGTCCTCCGTTATGGTCTTCCCCTCGACTATGTTACCGCTCTTATCAAGGTATTTTCCTCCTATTCCGTGTCGTGTTTGCTTTCAGCCCTCGTCTTTCCACACCCACCCCCCCTGTTCCAAACACATTTCGGCCGAGAAATAATAGTCGCTGATTGATATCAACTCAGACTACACCCAAGGTCGCGCCCAAGGTCAAGACGGCCCTCGACTCGCAGTTCTCTTACCTGGGAGGCAACGCCTTTGGCAGGGATAAACGAGGCAAGATCACCAAGGATGATGCCGCCATGAGTTCCGAGATGGCTGCCGCCGGTCTGGGTATCGGCGAGGGCAACGAGTACACGGCTTACGTCTTCTACGAGCTTGAGTTCCCTTAGGGAATGGATGAGGGGGAAAGAGGTGCACAGCTTGAGAGAGGGATGGGAAATATGGTGGTATGGAGGGGCCGGGGCGTAAAAGTAAGTGTATAGAAGCGTGATGAATGGCCAAGAGTGTCCGACAAAACCAAATATGAGACACGTCTTGTTGTAGTTGGCGGCCTTTCTATACTGGCCATGTTGCAGCGAATAGCATGAAACGCATATGTAGGGTCTGGGAGGGCCGTGATGCCTGTTTGATGTTATCTTTTTGATCTTTATTTTTTTGTGTACCTCGGTAAACAGGTATCTCGTTTTTTTCAATCCAAAAAAAGTATATATAAGTGACGTTACCCAAGCCTTCTATTGAGCCCGAGACACCCGCTAGATTCTTTTTTGTTTTCGACCCTTTCCCACAAGTGCATCATATAGGCGACTTAAGCCGACCTGGGAATGTAGCCCTGGGCGACGAGCCACTCGGTGATCTGGACAACGCACTCCTCGACCGACTTCTCGTGGGTCTTGATGGTGATCTCAGGGTTGAGGGGGGCCTCGTAGGGGGCAGAGATACCAGTGAACTCCTTGATCTCACCGGCGCGAGCCTTCTTGTAGAGACCCTTGGGGTCACGCTGCTCGGCGACCTCAAGAGGAACGTCGACGAACACCTCGACGAAGGGGAGGGGTTGGTCATCCTGGGTGGTCTGGCTGTGGAGCTCACGGGCCAAGTCACGGTCTGCTCTGTAGGGGGAGATGAAGGAGGTGATGGCAATGGTGGAGGAGTCGGCAAAAAGCTTGGCGACCTGCATAGAAACAAACAGTGTCTGGTCAGTCATGTTGTCTCTTTACTGCAAGAGATGGCCTCGAGGTAGAGAGAGAGAGAAGGTGGGTTGTCTTGAGACGAAGAGGGGATAGCGACAGACCTCAGAGATACGACGGATGTTCTCGTTGCGATCCTTCTCAGAAAATCCGAGGTCCTTGTTCAGACCGAATCGGACGTTGTCACCATCGAGACGGTAGGAAGGAACACCGAGGTGGAGGAGGTGCTGCTCGAGAGCAGTGGCAACAGTCGACTTGCCCGAGGCGGAGAGACCGGTGAGCCAAAGGGTGAGACCACGCTGCTTGCGGAGCTCAGAGCGCTCCTTGCGCGAGAGCGAAGGGTGCCAAGTAATGTTGCTATCCGACAGGGTCGTCAGTCCAACATTGTCCATATCGTCATGTGGGTGATCCCGAAGGGGCGGCGGCGACGCACGCGCGCTGCCAAGGAAAAGAAAAGAGATAAAGAAAAAAAACTCACGTAGCCATTGTGAAGGGAGTGGATTGTAAAGCCCAATTGGGTCAAACTCTTAGGAATATGAAGGTCTCTTTTGGTCAAAAGGTAGTATAAGAATAGATACTCTGTACAAAACCAAAATCCAGAGAGAAGAGTAGAGTAGGAGAAAGAAGTCAAGGTTCTAGCACTGCTCGAGGAGAGTGAACAACCGAATGGAGGAAGAGGAGGAGGGGGGAGGCCAAGGAGGGGCATAGAGTGGAGGGGCAGAGGGGCAGAGGGTCAGTTAGGGAAGGAACAAGTGACAGATTGTTGCAATACATACAGGGAAGGAGCTAATTCATGTAATGATTAATACAGAAGAGAAAGGATTACGCTGATCATTCAACGCCTACCCACAAAGCCCTTTCTCAACTGCCCATTAAGAGCTCTCTTTCGCCTTGCTCTCTCTCCTTTCTAGTATCTACGAGAGTACATAGCAATACTCTCTGCACATTGTCTCGTCTCGAAACGTAACATGCGTGAGATGCTATAAAGTTAGAGGGGACTTGCGAGGATAGAGGCTGAAATTGCATCATCTGCCAAGCGTCGCAAGCGACTATATATGGTTCACTTCTATGATACCGACAACCTCAACGTCCACTCTACTCGTACACTCTAGATTTAATCTACTGCTAGTAGCGATTGCTGCCGATATGATAAAACAGGATATGACAGCGACGAACCGACGACTCCTTGACCGCTTTTTTGCCCCGATGTCCCGATACTAGTGGCCGACGGCATTTCATGGCTCTGTATGCAGTACTCGCTACTACATATACACCAATGTAACCAAATAGCCCTGACATCGTGCGAACATCCTATATTGGGTATTGTATGCAGTAATATATCTTGCTACTGGTAACTCTATACACGCTCAGTTGTAAAAACGGGAGAAAATTTTACATTGGGGGGGGGGGGGGGGGGGGGGGCTTCTCCCATTTTCAACAAGTCCGAACTTCCCCCCCCCGGGCCTGCCCTTTTCACTTGTCTATGTCCGTTCTGGATCTAATGAGCTCCTCATTGAAAGCGCTTAAGCGATGCGCGGCATTACCTGTAATAATGAAGTTTGTTTTAGTCTGATTGATGTCCTCTCCATCTTGGTCCTGGAGGCAAGGAAACAAGGAAGCAAGGAAGGAAGAAAGTAAGGAAAGAGAGATGGTACTCACAGCAGCATATTTGGGAGAGACAAACAGACCCTCAGCCTCAGCAAAGACGACAGGCGTCTCCCCGGGAGCAGACAGCTGCTCGAGGCGCCCTTTGACCCAGGCCTTGCGGCCCTCGACCTTTGTAGTCTCGGCGCGGAGGACGAGGAAGGTACCGGCGGGCGTAGGCTTGCGGTAGTTGATGTTGAGGTTGGCCGTGACGGCGATGTTGTGCGGCAGGGCCTTGAAGGTGCACCGGCCCAGCCCCTCGTCGAGGATGGTGGCCAGGAACCCGCCGTGCACGATGCCCGGGTGCCCGCACAGGTCCTCCCCGACGTGCAGGACGGCCACCATCTCGCGGCCCTCGGCGTCGTTCCACGCGTAGGGCGGGACGCTGACCTTGCCGGCGCCCAGGAGTGCGCCGCCCGTCAGGCTGCGTGACCGGTACTCGCTCGGCATTTTCATGTGCGGCCTCGACTCCGTCAGGTCCTCGCGCCTGCGCAGCTCCGCAACCAGGGGGTGCGAGTTGATGGTCTCCTCGACCCGGATGGCCTCCTTGTCCGCCTCGTGCGGCGTGTACTTGCGCAGGCTGTCCTCGTCCGAGTAGAAACCCATGCCGCGCGCTGACATGGCTTTCCAGGTGCCCACGGCGCCGACCGTCGTAAACGCCGCTCCGATTAGGATGGTCGACACCACACGGCGGAACGCGCTCGGATGAGCCGCTGCGAGAGATCTTGTCAGCTGGCCATTCGCATGCACTGAAACGAAAAGGCCACCGTTGAAGGTGAAGAGGGGAGCTCGGAAGAAGAAATAGGAGGAGGAGGAGGAGGAGGAGGAGGAGAAGATAAACACTTACACTGGCCACTCTCAGCTGCATATCCTCGCCTTTGCGTCGCCCGCCTCGACGTTCGCCAAGCCGCCTGGCCCACGCGACGTCCGACTTGCTGCGTAAACATGGCTACCGGGATCAGCTGGTTCTCTTGTAGCGCGACGACAGTTGGGGAACTTTAACGGAGTTCGCCTTTGTTCCGTAACTTAATGCCTGCAGCAGAGCAAGCCCGACGTCGTGGTGGTTTGCTTAAAATCGGCTCGCGCAAGGGGCACCAGCAACCTGGCCGAGGTTCAGGGTCCCCGCATAATTGCATATGAGCCACCTCGGCCCTGAATATCTATGCAATTACACCTGATTCAACCTCGACTGAAGGCTGTGACGTGCCTACCAAAGAGACGTTCGCCAGCCATGTTTCGTCATCTCTATAGAGATATAACATACACCAATATTGACCACTACTGTCATATGCATCTACTACTTTCAATCAGATGCAAGATCTTGGAAAATGGATAGTATGACATGTGCATGAACATAGAAATTATACGACCGCGCCTGTCCCCCTTTTGGGACTGTTCTTCTCTTGCTTTTTTCGCCTCTCATATACATGCTTCCAAAGCTTCCCTCTGAGCCACAGTCGTCTAAAACTCCTCGTCCTCGTCCTGCGCTAGTAGCTGTGCGTAGTCGTCTACCGAAGCAAACATGGGGAGTGCCTTAATCTCTTTGCGATGAGCCTTGCGCTTATCCCTCCTCTCCTTGGCCTCGTCCACCTCGCTTTCCTCGTCCTCCTCCAGGGCAGCTACCAGGCCCTGATCATCGGAGTCGCCCTCGATGTCGACTGGCTCGTCATCTTCGACTTCGTCATCTTGGCTTTCGTCGTCATCAGAGGCCATGTCATCCGCGTCCAGATCGGAGAAGCCCTCAGAGTCGGCATCGCCATCCACGTCGGGTCGCGAGGAGACCAGAGCCTTCCAGATCTCGTCCTCGTCCTCGTCCTCGTCCTCGTCACCGGCGACCTTGGAAGCCGCCTTGCGGGGCTCCTTGGAAGCGTGCTGGAAGTACTTGTGGAAGAAGACATCCTCTGCAGACACCTCGTCCGGCTTCTTGCCTTTGAAGGCGTTTGAGTTGACCGACGTGACGGCCGAGGCGGCACCACGGCGTCCAAGCCAGATGTCGCCCTCGTCCCGAGTGGCCTTGAGGGGCTGCATGATTGATACACCACGTGACGACTCGTTGGCCTTGGGCTCCTTGTACACAAATTTGTCCAGGAATTTGATGAGGGAGTGGCTGTCAATATCGGGCTTGGTAACTTCGCGCGTCTTGTCCGTCAATGCGAGAGCAAAAACGGCCACAGAAGGGTGGAAATGGGCCTGGAGTGGCAGCTAGAGACCGAAGAGTAAGAATCAGCACATGGTTCCGGGCACTAGTTGAGGCTGCTCTAGACTTACCAATTCCCAGAGGCAACTCCGCTGGGCATTGCTGTGCTCCGGGTCTCTCTTGCGACCGTCGTAGACTGGTCGTTGGTCGGCAGGTTCGTCATCAAAGATGGACTCCTCGGGATCTTGTATCAGTGTGTCCAGGTCGGGGAATGTTCGCCTCAGGTGCGCCACCACATAGAGAAGACCGCAGATGAAGGGAGGCTGGTGGAGGTGAGTGATCTGGAGCATGCGCTTGACAAACGCCTTGACACGTCGCACATCCAGGTCGTTTTTGAGGGCACGCAGAACAAGGTTGAGATACAAGGCCTGCTTCGACGATGTAACCAGGCGCGGGTCCAACAGAGACTCGTAGAGTGTCCTGTAGAATCGGTCGGTACCCAGGCTCCTGACCGTCGAGAGGTGCTGGATCAACAGCAAAGCCTGGATGCCCGTGTTGAAATTTGTCGAGTGTGCGATCTTGAACAAGGTGTCCATGTGCTTCTCCATGCTAGAGAGTTCATTTGTCAGCGTGCAAGCTCAAAACGAGGCGATAGAGATTCTACAAGAAGCAGAAGTTGAGGGGACTCACATCGTATCGTTTGCGCCAACAAATGGTGCGGCACGGTTGACGCCAGTGAGGATGGCAGACACCAACTTGTCGGCCGCTTCAATCTCCTGCTCAGACGGCTTCGACTTCCCTTCCGGTTGAGGGCCCTTTCCGGGTTTTGCTGACATCGCTCGCATTTCATTCTTAGCGCCAGCGGGGTCATCCTGATCCTTCTGGAGCGAGATGCCGAGGCTGCCGGCCTTGAGTAGGGTGACAAAGAGGTCAAAGTACACCTGCATGAGGTGCTCGGCAATGTTTGGTTCCCTTGCACTCAGGATGGTCTGGTTAAGAGTGTTGATGGCGTAGTACTTTGATCGGTGGTCCTGGGAAGGGTGAAGCAGAATCTCCTGCTCGACTGTGCGAATGATGATGGGCTTCATGCCGGGGTGCGATGTCTGAAGCTGCAAGAGGAGGTACGAGGTGCGGGACGCAATCTTGCGGTCGCGATCACCGAGCTTATTCACAAGAAGTCTGAGAAGGTTGGCTTCCTGCTCAGGCTTCTCCTTGAGAAGTCCGTAGATGAAGTCGAGGGCCCTCGAGCGCGAGTATTCGATCTCATCGGAGCTCCACGCCTCGAGGAGCTGCAGAATCTTAAAGTAGGTATCCTTGAGCCAGTCCTCGTATGCCCAGCTAATCAATTGCCTGGGAATGATCCTGCCGGGAAGAGGCTGTTCGGGACTCCACGACTTGGTAGACGTCTTCTGCAGGGTGCCAATCAGGCCAGGCTGGGTCTGGAAGGAGCGGAGCCTGCGGTTCGCAGGCAGGACGACACCGGGGCCCAGCATATCGACGATGGCGCCAATGGCGCCGATGGCCTGAGCCCTGCTCTTTTTTGAGGCAAGGTTCATCAAAGTATCAAAGGCCCTGATGTTGTGAAGCGGCGACTCTTGGATGGCAAGAGTCAATGCAGAGACTTTATCGTTGAGGGTACCAGATGTCATGATGGTGGCAAGGAACTTGTGTGACGACGAAGCAAAGACGCTGGTCCTATACTTCTCCGCGTCGCCCTCAAGAAGTTTCTTAGCTTGGATCTTGAGAGCCTCGACGGCTCCCGCGTACGGGCCTACGTTCTCGCTTGAGGGCCCGGGTAGTTGTGGGAGCTTGGCGGCATGCCAATCCGCCCTGGGTTCAAAGATCTAGGGGTTACTGGTTAGTTGAGGTTAAGGGCGGTTCAGGAAAACGTTGAGGGAACTGGAAAAATACCATGTTTTCGGCATGACGATAGGCCTCCCTCTCATTTTCAACAGCTTCTTCGTCATCGTCATCTTGCTGGTCGTCACCCTTCTCTTCCTCATCATCTTCTGCTTGATCCTCCCCATCCTCATCATCCTGACCAGCATCATCCTCGCTGTCGCCGGCCTCACTAAGCTGGTGGTCACTGAAACCGAGGTTCTTTGAGAAGGCGGCAAGCTCATCCTTCAGCTTCTTGTCGACGGGCACGTTGCTGTCTTTGACCACTTCATCGTCGGATGAATCAATGTCCTGAATGAGGGCCAGGTCTTCCTCGTCACCGCCAAGTGCCCTGATCTCATCCAGAAGAGACTTGTCGGCTCTCCTCCCACCCTGAGCCGCGGAGGGCTTGGAGGATCCTTTGGTGGAATTACGCTGCCTCTTGCGGTCCTGGTTGGGAGAGCCGTCGGAAGGCGGTTGCTTGCGTTTGCTGTCACTTCCCTTCAGGTTCTTGTCGAGTTTTGAGGTGAGGTTTGTCAAGGCACTTTCATCAAAATCTTTGGAACCACGGAGTCCCTTGGGGCCCTTCCCCTTCTTATTCGGCTTGGCCATGATACCAGGCCTCGAACTGGGCGACACTATGTAAAAGAAAACTTGGCGATACTGCACCTCGAGTCTGGATCAATGATGAAAATTATCGGCGCGACTGGCAACTTTTTTTTGAGACTGCCATGGCTCTGGCCCCACACCAGCGCGCTAGGGGTCTCTTTAGTGCAGTACGTACCCCATATGGAGCCAAAATCCGAGCTCTTGCGCCATATGTGGCTGTTGCACCGCCACAGGAAGACATTGGAGATACGTACCTTCGAGCAGGCTCAAGCTGCTGGTTCTTGGAGATTGTAAAGTAACAATCCAGCATCAACTCTCATCCGTCCATAGCAACAAATCGCTTGGATAGGTCGGCATATTCTTTCTCTCGCGTCATTTGGCTGGTCAAACTGGTGTGTTCTTATAACAGGCCTGGCAGTTTCATAATATGGCATCCACACTCCTCTCTCGGGGCCGTATAACGGTCTCTCAGCAACTCTCATCTCGGATCATACAGTCGTCTTCATGGACAGCACGTTTACATAGCACCGGCCCCCCGAGGTCAACTCTGTCGACCATATGGGTTCCTACAGGTGGAATGGCGCCCACTCAGAAGGAGTGTAAGTCCCCAGACTCTGTGACCGAAACCGATTGATCAGTGATTGACTGCCCCTTAGCCGGACATGAGAAGCTCGTCCGCGCCGGCTTCCTTCGACAGGTACGCTGAGTCGTCCTAACATTTCCAAATCATGACCGGATCTCTTACTCGACTGGGTATTTTATAATAGGCTCATTCCGGGATTTTCCAATTGCTCCCACTTGGAGCCCGGGTACAGGACAAGATAGAAAGGCTGGTAGACAAGCACATGCAGTCACTCGGTAGGTCCTTCTCATCCTACGCCCTCTGCCAAGCAGGCTTGTTAACCATCGCAAAGGAGCCTCGCGCCTTTCGCTCTCAACCATAACCTCGGAGTCTCTATGGCGCAAGAGTGGCCGTTTTGAGAGTGTTGCACCAGAGGTAAGTCTGCGTCTCCGAGACTACGACCTGTACACATACGCCGCTGACTGACTCGAAAAAGCTCTTTCGACTCCGTGATCGCAAGGATGTACCTCTGCTTCTGGCTCCTACTCATGAGGAGGAGATTACTGTCATGGTAGCAAGCACCCTCAAATCTTACAAGGACCTACCGTTAAGGCTCTACCAAATCAGTCAGTGCCCTCCCCGAGCTGTTTTCTTTGCGTACTTACCGCTGACGGTATCCAGCACGCAAATATCGAGACGAGATCAGGCCCCGTCATGGCCTCCTCAGGTCCCGCGAATTCCTCATGAAGGACATGTATAGCTTTGACACGACATATGAGTCCGCATTCCAGACATACCAGGATACCGTCGCAGCTTACAAGGCCATCTTCAGCGAGCTTAAGCTTCCTGTGGTCGTGGCCGAGGCCAGCTCTGGAGACATGGGCGGTGATCTGAGTCACGAGTACCTTCTGGCCCACCCCATCGGATCCGACACAATGGCCACGTGTAACAGCTGCGGGTATGCTGCGAATGACGAGGTTGCTGCATCACGGCCGGTGCCATTGAGCGAGACCAGCGACGTCTCCGCCTCGAGCGTCTGCATGTGGCGTGGCATCACGAAGGATAGAAGAACTCTCGTCAACGCGTGGTTGTACAAACCCCGGTACGACATCACGCCAGAGGACGTGAACATCCACGCCATAAAATCAGTGGTGCCCGATCTCGATACCAGCTTGACGGGTGACGTTCTGCCCATGTGGAAGGACGCACTGGAGGGCGCACCTAAGGATGCTCCGGTGCGTCTGTTGAACGTTGTCGATTCCCGCCTGTCACCCTTTGTCAAGGAGCTCGCGGATTCACCTGAAATCATCCCGTCAGAGTTCTCCGTAGGCCCGGAACACTCGACGATCACACAAACGAACAACGGCTCCAGCCTCAACCTCCTCCGCCTTCAAGACGGCGATGGTTGTGTCCGGTGCGAGTCTGGCACGCTCAGAGTCGACCGAGCCCTGGAGCTCGGCCACACCTTTTACCTCGGGACACGCTACTCGGAGCCGCTGGATGCTCTAGTGTCCCTCCCGGAAGCCCCCGGCAAGAAGATCCCCGTCCAGATGGGCTGCTACGGCATCGGCATATCCCGCATCTTCGGCACCGTCGCCGAGCATCTGGCAGACGACAAGGGGCTGAACTGGCCCAATGCCATTGCGCCCTTCCAGGCAGTCGTCATCCCCACATCGGACACGACGCAGGACACTCTCGACTTTTACGACCGGCTGTCCCAGAGCGGCACCCGTTCTGACGCTCCCCTGGACATCGTCCTAGACGACCGGAAACAAGGGTTTGGATGGAAGATGAAGGACGCCGACCTGACGGGATACCCTGTCACCGTCGTCCTCGGAAGGGGCTGGAAGGACAAGGGCACATGTGAGATTCAGTGCAGGAGGCTCTCTGTCAGGGAAAATATCTCTCTCGAGGCGGCGCCCGCCTATCTGAGGGGTCTGCTGGAGCAGCTCTAAAAAGGTGCATCCGGCATACTGCTACTACAGACATATTCTTGTTGTATTTCTACATCTCCTGTAAAATTAATTCCCATAAAAACAATTTCAATATCGGACGGTGCACATCCCGTAGATTATTTCAAAAGGTGATTCCGTGCCAATGTTGTCAAGTTGCCGTCTAAGAATTGCGGTCGCGTGAAGCGGATCGGCACCAACACCACCACCACCACCACCACCCCACCTTGTCAAAATATCATTGTTATGTGGAGGGGTGGGCGTGGGTGGCATCGCACTACCTCCCCCCAAGAGGCAAGCTTCCTATTCCCCCAAACTCTCTCCAGCAACCTCCCCGGCTCCAGTCAACGCATAACCCGCAACCCAGCCACAACCATGTCGGGTCAACAAGAGACAGGTACGATCCAACCTGTTCCGAAGCCAAGCAGCTTCCTACCCCTCTCAGCATTCATCGTTCCGCGGCGGCCGTAACTCAAGAAACTGACGTCCCGCTCCGCAATAGTCAATCTCGACACCCTGGCGCCCGAGCAGCTCGCCCAGGTCAAGAAGCAACTCGACGAAGAGCTAGAGCACCTGACGACGTCATTTTCGCAACTCCACGGCGCCCAGAACAAGTTCAGGGACTGCCTTCGTACCGTCCAGTCCCGCAAGAATGCCTCGCCAGGTACGTATGGTCCGACCGACCCGGCTTCCCACCTTGCCGCCGCCGTGTGGTGCAGTCTTGCAACGAAATGCAGGAAAACGCTAACGAGTTTTCTGCCTCTCCCTTCTTCTGCCTTGTTGCTGCGACATAGGATCCAACTCCGTTCTCGTCCCTCTGACAAGCTCCCTCTACGTCCGCGGCCAGCTCACAAACACCGACCGGGTGCTGGTCGACGTCGGAACCGGCTTCCTCGTTGACAAGGCAAGACGAGAACCGAACCCCGAAATACGCACATTATGCATGCGTGCATACGGTCGTATCAGTGCTGACATCCTTCATCGACGAATGCTGTAGGATCTGAAAGCGGCCGAGAAGTTCTACGAAGGCAAGGTCACAGAGCTCACGGCGAACCTCAAGGATCTCGAGCTCATCATCCAGAGGAAACAGACAAATGCCCGCACAATCGAAGAAGGTGATATGCCCACACGGGGAATTTTCAAGTATTACCACATTGACACAAGGCTAACTACCGTCCCCCCGGTCAACAGTTTTGCGACAGAAGATCATGGCTAGCCAGAACCAGAGCGCACAGGCACAACAGGCATAACGGTGTTCAAGACTCAAGGGTGATACCAGGCGTACATGTCGATTACAAAAACAAAAAAAAGGAATCTGTGAGGGGGAAAAGCTTCTTGTTTCTCATGAAGGAGGTTTCTGCAGAGATGCTATACTATATTCATAGACCAGCCCGAGGTGCATTGATGGTGCGATCAAGGGATGAATAGTAGGATTCATCACACAGTAGTGTGGTTCCACATTTTTACTCTATCTAGCAGATGGTGACGTTCAACGATATTCTAGTCGAGAACATGCCTTCGCAGAAGAAGGAAGATATCCCACCATCCCTGATGATATCTCCTCCGTCAAGTCACGAGGTCTCCGTTCGCGGCAGAGCCATCGGAAGCAGCGTTTTCCAGAACAGCGCTCTCAACCGCAGTATCGCCAAGCACGCCTTTGTTAGTGTCGGTGCTGTGGGTAGAACCTGGGGTGGTGCTTTCCCTCAGTCGAAGATCGTAAATCAGCCAGTTGAGCTCCTCGGTGGCTTTGCGGAGGTCGCGCATCGTACGGCTGCTTATGTCAAACGCCAGAGGATTGATTCTCGTGATCCAGACGTGATTGCTCAGGCATATATTATCCAACCCGGATCTGTCCAGCCCCGAGGGGACTAGGTGCTCGGCAGCGATGATGACTCGGGCCTAGTCATTCCCCTCCCCCCTCCCCCCTCGGTCTTAGCCAATGGAACATGGACAGGGAAGTCGCCAACGTAGGAGGGGGAACATTGAACTCTTTACCTCAAACATCTGCTCGTTCTCTGGCGGTTCAGTAAGATATACATGGGACTGGTCATGGGTCTGACGTGCCGACGACACCAGAGTTTGGCTAGTAGGCATCATCCCAGAGGAAAGGAATTTCTTTGACGGCCTCCCCTTTTGATGGAGGAGCAAGTGTTCATGCGTCCTCAAGGTCGGTGCGGACCACCCGTTGGGTCGGCGGTTCATCATTCTTTCTTGTGATGGAGAGCAGACAATCTGCGATGGATGTGTTTGGGCGATCACTGAGGCGACTGCAGAAAGAAAGGAGCGTGCTGAAGATTGGAAGAGAATGAGGAGACGGATTAGTGAGGGATGATGTTAGTTTATAGAAGGAAGGAAGGTCAGGTCCAATGACCTCTTGCACTGATTAAGTGTCGGGACTTGACAGGTCGGCAACTCGGTGTGATTGCGGGATGAGGCAGATGCTGGCGGCTACTTGGCTTCAAGTAGGACACGGAATGATGAACGATATGCTACCCTCGATTTACACAAATATCTCGTATTCGTACGTCATATGATTCTCGTACTATGGTTGCGGAATATAATGAAGATGTTGGACTGAAACTGTAGAGAAGGCAAACTCCTCAAGGTACACAATGAGAGTTTCAATACTATACAATGGTATGAGGTGAGGTGCATCGAGGTGATTGCTCCTTGGGCCAGCTAAGCATGGTATAGCACTGGTATGTAACAAGGTAACACATGTACGATATACAGTATGCCAGGTCAATGTTTGTCTCTGAAAACGAAGGCAGAAAACGACATTGATGCCATTGGCAATTCTCCCTCATTTCGCCAATAGCAGCTGGAGATAGAGATGGCAGACGACAGTCGGGCCACGCCATACACGTCAAGTAGGCTGATACACAACGACGGGACTCGTCAAGACACAAGAGCACAGGTTCAAGAAAGAAACAGTTGTACCATTTATCCAAATAAGATGACCCCATTCTTCTCATCGTCGAGATTGCCACATCAGAGGAGTTTGATTATGATGTGGGAGTCGGCGTATATACCCTACATGTAATCTGTAGTTGCCAGAATATGCATTTATGCATGTATCAAGGGTATGTACATAAGCGTAGCACCAGAGAGATTCTACGACGCGTCTCCCTGGCGCGCGTAAATGACTTCAAGGGTGGATAACCGCCCTGGACACAGGGGCAAGAAGAGAGAAGAGAGGGAGGCTTATCCGCCAGAAGTAATTTGCACTGAGATGTCTGTCCGGACTGTGCCAGTGCGGGAAAGCGAATCGCTGCGTCGGCGATCGCGGCAAGCACCCAAGGGCGTTTCCCGAGAGGATTCAGACGACGAGCTCGGCAGCGACGACCTGCCGTGGGAGTGGATCTACGAGGGCCAGGCGCCCGAGCGCAAGAGGACCGACGAAGATGCCAGCCACGATGACGACCAGGACGACGACAGCACCGGCGAGCGCAAGAGGAGAAAGGTGGCCGGGCAGAAGATTGTGGGCGCTCGCATGGGCAGCTTCGAGTGTCGCGCAGGCGACTGCGTGCTTCTCAAGGCCGAGGGCTCCAACGAGGCTTGGGTAGGCCTGATCTGCGAGTTTGTCGAGAACGACGGCGATGGCGACATGGCAGCCAATTTCATGTGGTTCTCTACCGAGCAGGAGATTCGGAACAAAGATAAGAAGCGCTCCGACTTTTACTGGGTAAGAAAAGAAGAAGGGATCTGGTCTTCTTTGGATAGGCCCTGGGCTAACTCGGATGTCTGTGCTAGAATGAGCTATACATTACACCGTCATGGGACATCAACCCACTAGCCTCGATCAACGGCAAGGCCAAGGTGACCTCTCTCGACGCCTTTCTCCGACAGTACCCGTCTGGCAAGATCCCCCGCCAGTCCGCCGACTATGGCAAGACGTTTGTATGCCGCCGGGGCTGCAACACGCGCACGGCATCCTACACCAGCGAGTTCGTGTGGGAGGAGGTGCTGCAGACGAGCCTAGACGTCTTCAAGATCATCGACCTCGTGAAGCAGGGTACGAAAGCGACGCGCCAACGCCGACGGCAGCAGCGCAGCCAGTCGCCCCAGGACGGCGTCTACTATCCCGAGACGCCATCTAAGACGGGGCGCGGCAGGAGCGGCAGTGTCACGACGCCGCACTCGAAACGGGGAGGGGCAACACCCGGCTCGAGGAAGAGGAGCAGCAAGAAGCTTGAGTTCACCCCGCTGGCCACGCGCACGCTGTCCCCGAGCAACGTCGAGTCGTCGCCCTTCCAGCTCGCCCGCACGCGGCTGCACGTGTCGGCCGTGCCGACCAGCCTCCCCTGCCGCGAGGGCGAGTTCTCGCTCGTGTACTCGCACCTCGAGGCGTCCATCTCCGACGGCACGGGCAACTGCATCTACATCTCCGGCACGCCGGGCACGGGCAAGACGGCCACGGTGCGCGAGGTCATCGGTCGCCTCGAGGACGCCGTCAACTCGGACGAGCTAGACGACTTCATCTTTGTCGAGATCAACGGCATGAAGATCACCGACCCCCACCAGTCCTACACGCTGCTCTGGGAGGCCCTCAAGGGCCAGAGGGCCAGCCCCTCGCAAGCGCTCAACCTCCTCGAGCGGGAGTTCAGCAACCCCAGTCCCCGCCGTACGCCCTGCGTCGTCCTCATGGACGAGCTCGACCAGCTCGTCACAAAGAATCAGGCCGTCATGTACAACTTCTTCAACTGGCCAACCCTGCGCCATAGTCGCCTCATCGTCTTGGCCGTTGCCAACACCATGGATCTTCCTGAGAGGACACTCAGCAACAAGATCAGCAGCCGTCTAGGTAAGCAAGGCGATTGGCCTCGTCTTCTTCACGCACCCTGCTGATACACTCTAGGTCTGACACGAATCACTTTTCCTGGATACAATCACGAACAGCTCATGAAAATCATCCAGTCACGTCTCGAGGGAGTTTCAGGCAGTATAGTGGACCCAGACGCCGTTCAATTCGCGAGTCGCAAGGTGGCCGCCGTGAGCGGAGACGCTCGCCGTGCGCTCGACATATGCCGCCGAGCCGTGGAGCTCGCCGAGAGCGACGTGCAGGGCGACCCGACGACGCCCAGCAAGACTGGACGTGGCGACGCGGCCAAGGCAAAGACGGGCAGAGTGACTATCGCTACCATAAAGAAGGCTATCAACGAGGCAACCACCAACCCTGTCCAGCAACACCTCAAGAGCCTACCCCTCATGTCCAAGCTTCTCCTGGCGGCCCTGCTCCTGCGGATCCGCAGGAGTGGTCTGGCCGAGACGACGTTTGGCGAGATGCTCGACGAGCTGCACCGCGCCAACCTGCGTGCCCCGGCGTCCAACCCGGGACTGAGCCATCTCCTTCCCGGCGGCACAAGAGCCGGCCAGGCCCGCGACATAGGTCGCCCCGGCCACATTCACACTGCCGCCATCGAGCTCGTCGCAGCAGGTCTGATCAACCTCGAGGCGCAAAAGGCAGAACGGTCCAACAAGCTCCGCTTGGCTATTGCCGACGACGAAGTCAAGATGGCACTGCGCGATGACGCCGAACTGAGGATGTTGGGTATCGGTGTATGACAAATAAATATACAGTAGCAGTAGCCAAATATCATCAATGGTATGTGCCCGATCACGGTGTTATAATAATTAATCCTCCAACCCAGCAAACCAGTGCGTGTGTATGTGTGTTCTGTCTTTTTTCTTAAAACTTGCGGTATGCGAGCGACGGCGTCCATTCGAGAGGGTGCGTCTCTGGCGTGGCCTTCTCGTCGGGCTTCCAGATTTTAACTAGAAGAAGTTATTAGGGAAGGAATTTCCAAAAGCGAGGATGAAATATATCGGGAAGGTGCTACATACTCGTCTTGTCGGCTTCACCACAGATGAGACGTAAGCCGGAGCGATCAAACGTGGAGCTCATGATGCCGGCTTCGGCGTCAAGCGATCCAGGCTGAGCAGTTGTATCTAGAGACTGGAAGCGGTGGCCCGTCTTCCAATCCCAGAAGCCCATAGAGCCATTGTCGCCTGGTTGAAGAGTGTCAGTAGAGCAAAATGTAAATAGGCTGTATGTGTGTGTCGTTGGGGGGGGTGGGGGGGGGTCTGCTTGGACTGACCTCCTGAGAAGAAGACATTGTTCTGATTGACGCTGAGGGTGTTGATGATGGCATTCTGACCCTCAAAGTTCTGCATGAAGGCGCCCTCGGGGCACTTCCACTGCTTGATGCTGCCCGTGCTGCCCGTGGCAAAGGTGAACTCGGTCGGATGCGTGGCGAGGGCGCGGACGCCCTTCTTGTGGTGAGTGAGGACACCCATAGTCTTACCCGCGGCGAGGTCCCAGAGGCGGACGGTAGAGTCGAGGGAGCCGGTGATGACCTGAGGGTCAGCTTCCTGGCAGACGAGGTCGGCGACGGTCCCGGTGTGGCCGGAGAGGACGTGGATGTTGGAGCGGGTGCGCATGTCCCAGACGCGGGCGACGCCGTCGCGGCCGCCGGTGACGAGCACGTCGAGGGTCGGGTGCAGAGCCAGGGTGTAGACGCCGCTCAGGTGGCCGTGGTAGTGACGGATGACCTTGTTGGTCTCGAGGTCCCAACACTTGACCATCTTGTCCTCGCCACACGAGAAGAGGTACGGGTGCCGCGGTGAGACGGCCAGCCCGCGCACCGTGCTGATATGGCCCGTCAGCGTCAGCTTCAGCGACCCCGTCGCCATATCCCAGATCTTGATGGTCCGGTCGCCCGCGCCGCTCGCGAACCACTTGTTGCCCGGCTCCACCGCCAGGGCGCGCACCCAGCCCAGGTGGCCCGAGATGACGCGCATCAGCTTCCATGGCGGGTGCCACTCCGGCTTCGGCTGCTGGACGTGTGACGTCCTCCCCGTTGTGAGTTGCTGCTGTCCACCGGCACTCCCGGCACTCCCGGCGCCGTCTGCACCGATGGCTATCGCCGCCGCCGAGCCACCGGGCCCCTCGAGCAACTTCTGGGGCCGTCCCCCCCTCTTGACCAGGGCACCGGCATTGCCCCCTGCTGCCGCCTTCTTCTTGCCTGGCTTCCCGGGCTGCTTGGACGCGATTGACTCCGGGAGCGTCTGCACGTCGGAAAACTCGTACTGAAATCGCCGCTTCATGATGGGGTCTTCGAACGCGTCTTCGAGCTTCTGCCGCTTGGCGGTCGTCGTGCTAGCCGATGTCGATGACGGCCCCCGCGTGTAAAGCTGCTGTGCTGTCGAGGCATTTTGTGACACGAGAGAGCTTAACTGGAGCACGTCTTCGGGGTACTGTGGCGTCTCCATGTTGATGGTTGGCAGGCTTGGAGATAAACAACAGATGTGTTTGGTAATAATCCGAGGTTGACTAGGCTGTCGCAGAAAAGTTGAAGGCAGCTAACTGGTCGCGCGCAGCCTTGTGTGTGGCGTTAGTGGTGTGGCTGGTTGATCATGCGCCACATGTTACTGCCTGATCGATCGTACAAGAGGTTCTAAGAGTAAGCACATGTAGTCATCGTTCTTCTTTCATCACATACACATACAATTTTCTACAACGTCTGATTTATCTGCGCAGTCTAGTCCTCCTCCTCCTAGTCTTCTCGTTTCCCCCCGTATCTGCTTGCAGTGATATCCGGTACTACAACAGCTAGAGAGTGCATCTATCTACTCAATACATGTATTAACACATAGACAGATGTCTGGGAAAGATGAGCCTTGCTATATCAATGCGCTCTCACCCGAGCTTATTGATAACATCCTCATACATGTCGACTCGATACGTACGCTGAGCAACATCTTCGTCGTCTCTCGCTTCATCCATCAGTGTTTCACGGCGCGGCGGGAAGCTCTCATACTAGGTGTGCTGCAAAATGAGCTAGGCCCAGTCTTGGCCGACGCCCAATTTCTCCCTCTCTTCCCCCCTGCGACGCATTATGACATGCACGAGGATAGTCTTTCCTACCAGGAGCATGTGTACGCCATGGCTCCCGTGTACGAGGACCTCCTGTCGCGCGGTGGCGATGATGAGAATGCGGACTCTGCTTCGCTGACCGAACTGTGCCGTACCCTCCACGAGATGAATTTCATGACGGATATCTGCATGGAGATGCAGAGGGAGCGGTTCCGGATATATGGGCTGAGCATGGTGCCAGCACCCTCGCGTTCGGAGCGGCTGCGAGTGCTCCGGGCCTTGTACCGACGCCAGATCATCTTCAATATGTGGGCGATGGGCCGACGCGCGCTCGCGTGGGGTGATGCGGACAACGCGGCCCTCATCAACTCCAACGACAGCGCGGGAGAGAGCCTGGGCCTGCTGGCGCCTCTGCAGTCATGGGAGATGCAGCAGGTGGACGACGTCAACCAGATCGTCATACACGTCTGTCTGTCCCTCTGCGCCGCGGGCCTTGACCAGGGGCAGCCAATCGATGAGGACTTATTCGACGAGATGTGCGTACACACCAACGTCCTGGTCCAGTTCATGTGGGAGCACCCAGCCCTTTCGGAAGGTTTGCCCATGGTCGTGCCGATATCAAGTGACTCCGGCCCCGACGGCCTGTGGAACTACTACGGCCTTTCCAGGACGTACAAACTGTCCTACCTCGCGTGGCCCTGGTGGGAACAATGGATCGGCAGGGGCCCGGTGGACGCGCAAGAAGACGAGGGCGGGCAGGGTGAAGGCAACACTAGAGGGAGGCTTGACTTCACTGTCGACCGAGTACACCTGGTCCCTTTTGCCTGGGCGGACGCGTTAGGGGGCCGAATCGTCAACTGCTTTGGTGAAGTCCTCTGCGAGGGGATTTCCGAGGCAGCGGCCGAGTCTGAATACGAGCTTCGCAGTCGTTCTTCTTCCATTGAACTGTGGTCAGCAGTCGGGTTTTCCTTGTGGGACCGCCAACGGGTCGAGACGCTGAAGGGGCTGAGCCAACTTGGTGAATTCCATACAGGGTGGATTCTACGTTGGCATGTTGTTCCGCGATGATTGAGCCGGAGTTCCTCGATCGTACATGACAGGCCGCAGTTTGTTTCCTCCCTGTCCTTGAAGCCGATGTGCTGGTTGAGTCGGGCGTGAAAGAGGCCAGTTCACCTTGGTCTCTGGCAGTAACTATCACACGGGACAGTGAATTACTGGAGTCGGGAGTGAGCAAGACCCTTTTCACATCGAATCGTTCCCTAGTGATGATCACAGGCTGTCTGGGCTGTTTTCCCTCCCTCCCTCCCTCTCTCTCTCTCTCTTCTCTTTTCTCTTTTCTTCTCTTCTGTTCTATTCGTCTCTTCTTCTTCTATTCCTCGCCCTTCCCCCTTCCTCCTTCCCCTCCATCTCTCTACATATCTTTGCTCACTACTTTCCGCCGTTCACGGCCCAGGCGCCCACGCCAGAAAGAAGGATGAGCCAATACATTTCCCTTTCCTTTGAAGAGTGGATAGTTGAAGCTGAAGAGAGGGATGACCTAAACAAATGTCGGGAAATGCATGGATCCAACTGTTGGAAGGCACTCCAAATCACATGATCTGGATATCCATCTCTCGGAGCCGTCTATGTCCTGGTCCTAGTTGGCGCTGTTCGAAACCAAGGTACAGCAATTCTTCATTTGTCAGGAATGCGACGGAGCATACTCAGTACAGCTACATCCATGCAATGAACCTGATGATGGCCCAAAGGATAGAAAAGTCCCATGCGTCCGATGTAGTGTAGACCCGATGAATTCTACAGCTGCTTCAAATTTGATGCCATGGCTCCATTGCAGCTTCTTGTCAATCATCCCTATAGGGTAAGCAGTTGACCACTATGTTGGTGGCGAGCGGCAACGAACTAAATGCTAACGTCTCCATCGTCATCCGAACTCCACTTACTCTGCTCTTACATCCAAAGAGCTCCTTTCCCCTCCTGCCCTTGGTTTTTCCTTTCATTATTTTGTGAGAATAAACTCGATAAGAATCTTTTGCATTCAGACACCATGGACAAGGAAACCGACCGCTTCCCTCTACACACGGCAGCGCGACTGGGCCAAGGTAAGAACTGACTGACCTGGGAGACTTCATTCACCATGACAAACATAGATCCCCCTCCCCCCCACTAAAACACCACGGACAGTGAGCGTTGCCGAAGGTCTGCTCAAGGTAAAGAGAAATCATTCACCAAACCCTCACCAGAGATTGGGACGAGCGTATGCACGAAACAATAAGACCGGATGCTGAATCTCATCGCAGACCGATCCCAAGCTTTCCAAGCGCAAAGACGACGATGACCGATACCCCATTCACTGGGCCGCCTCGTCCAACAGTCTCGACATTGTCAACCTTCTGGCCGATCAGAAAGGCTTCGATCCAGACGTCCAGGTAACCTCGATCAACGCCCACTGCGCCCGCTCTCTCTCTCTCTCTCACCATATAGTCGTTGACCGATCATCAATATCGCTACAGGATGGAAGCGGCTGGACCCCCCTCATGATTGCCGCCAGCGTCCCCGACAGCGAACCTGTTCTCAAGCTCCTCCTCCAGAGGGGAGCAGATGTGAATGAAAAGAGTTGAGTTCCCCCCGTCCCCCCCCAGTTATACCCTCCCTCCTTTGTCCTAGATATGTACACATAAAACATGATGGTAATGTTAACGACTGTGGGGGGAAAAAAAGACAACACCGGAAATGTCGGTTGATCTCCTTTCTCCAGCCCATTGCCCAGATCCCCTGGCTCATGATATCCCAGTCGGCCCTGCATTTTGTTGCCTCGAAGAAGGACCTCGACACCGCCCGCCTTCTGATAGAGAACAAGGCTTCGACGCGCGTCCGCAACAAGAGGGGCCAGTACGCCATCCACCGCGCCGCCGCCGTCGGCTCCCAGCCCCTGGTGTCGCTCCTCTTGCGCAACCGGAGCCCTATTGATGCCACCGACGCAGATGGGTACACACCTCTCCACCACGCTATTGCCGAGGGTCATGGTGAGAATACTATCAGTCTTTCTTTTTTCTTCCCGTTCCGTTCGCATATATTCATGTGCTGATGGATTTTTCCCCTGCAGGAGACGTTGCCATCCTCCTACTCAAAGAAGGAGCCGACCATACCCTCAAGACCAGCGAAGACCAGCTCGCTATTGATCTGGCTCCAGACAAGGATGTATGCTTTGCCTCTTCCCCCTTTCTATCTCTACGCAACGCTAATCAACTTCTCAAGGTACGACGATACATTATACAGGGTGCTGAAAGGGAGGGAATAGATTTATCAGAATAGTTTTTCGTCTTGTTTTGTCTCTTGGGTAATAACGATAGAGAGAGAAGGGGGCAAAAAAAATAGAAAGGAAAAAAATGTAAATAGTGCAGAAAGAAGAAAAAGAAAGAAAAATTCCCAACGCTGTGTTTTTACATCATTTGACCGTCCGTTCCACCAACTCGCGATACATTTCCTTGACATCCTGCACATCGGCCTTGAGCTCCTCCACCATCTCGCTCTTCTCGCCCAGCAGCTCAAGGGTAGTCTGGTAGCGGGCGTTGACCTCTTCGAGCTGCCTCTGGGCGTCGTCGGCCTTTCTGGACGCCGCCTTGGCGGCCTCCACGTCCCTCATGAGCGAGAGTATGTCGGACCGCGCCTCGTCCCTCTGGCTGCACACGCGCGCCATCTCCTCCTTTGCCGCCACCTTCTCGGCCTCGAGCCGGCGGATGGCTGCGCTCATGCGCTCCACCAGCTGCACTGACGGCCCGGCCCCGACGGTCGAGACCGAGACCATGTCCTGCGCCACGTTGCGCGGCGAGAACGGCACCGGGCCCTCTCCCGCACCGGCGGCACCTGCACCGGCAGCGGCCGACTCGTCCCGCTCGGCCAGGGAGGGAGGCGACATGAGGTCTAGCCCGTCGCTGGGCGGCGGCTCGAACGGCGAGAAGGGCATGGGCGGCACGCCCGAGCCCGCGGCCGCACCGGACCCCGTGGTGGAGAACGTGCCCGTCCGCCGGAGTGACGGCTGGCTCGGCAGTCGTCGGATGCTGCCGAGGTCGCCGGGGCTGTCGGGTATGCTGCCCGAGACGGGCGTGCGGCGCGACAGCGGCTTGTTGAAGATCTGCAGGCCCGCGAGTTCGGAGCTGAAGTTGCGCGGCACCGATAGCAGCGGCGAGTCCGGCCGACTCTGGTTGCGCGGCGATGGCATCGCGGGAACGTCGTCCGCCCACCCTCCCCGCCGGTACGCATCGTTCTGCTGCTGCATCTCCCGCGCTGCTGCTCGCTGCATCTTGTCCAGGTCGGCGCGGGCCTGCTCCAGGGCCGTCTCCGTCGTCTTGGCCGACATCCGCAGGGCGGCGAGCTGCTCGCGGCACGTCTCAAGTTCTCGCCTGGCCGTCTCCAGTTCCGGCTTGACGTCTTGCAGCTCATCCTCTAGACCGCGGCATCGGCTTGCCTATGCGACAACTTAGATATACAGTCCACCCACACTGCCATGTGCTCTGTAGATAGGAGCAGGGAAAAAGAGGGGAAACCCAACCCCCCCCCCCCCCAAAAAAAAAAAAAAAAAAAAAAAACATTAAAAGCATGATTCCTTTAAAAGGTCATGACCATACATAATACTATATAAAAATAGTAAGAGTCCCCCCCCAAAAAAAAAAAAAAAAAAAAAAACTTACAGCTTCTCGTGCCTTTTTGCGCATTTCCGACTCTCGCCTCTGTGCCTCATCCTTCTCCTTTTCGAGGCTAGCCACCTTTGCGAGGAGAGAGGCTTCGATGCCCTGCCAGTTGTCGCTGGCGGTAGCGTACTGCGACTGGAGCGTCTCGATCTGCCGCAGCAGCTTGACCTGGGCCTCGCCGCCGGAGCCGGACGAGGCCTCCTCTGCGACGGACCGCATGGCCTCGAGCTTGCCCTCCATCACCTTGACCTCTGCTCTGAGGTCGGCTTCGACGGTGCGGCCCCGCTCGGTGGCGCGGGCGAGCCTCTCGGTCCACTCGAGGCCCTCGAGGCGCGCCTTGTCCCGGAGCGAGTCCCTCTCGGCTTCGAGGGCGGCGACCTTGTCCTCGAGCTCTCTCTGACGGGCCTTCTCGGCGGCCACGGCCTTGGCGTGCGCGTCCGCGCTGGCGGCGGCGGCCTTGTCCGCCTTGGCGCGGAGGTCCTGCTCGAGCCTGCGCATGGCGTCGTCCCTGACGGCGCGCTCCTTCTTGAGGCCGTCAATCTCGCGCTGCAGCGATGCCGTCGCCTTGCGCGCCTCCTCCTGCCTCTTCTCTTTCTCCTCATCACCTTCGAGCCGGCTGCGCAGCGCGTCGGCCTCCGAGGCGGCCTTGTCCTTGGCTCTCCTCAGGTCTTCGACCTGCTTGTCCTTGTCGGCCATCTGCAGCCGCAGCCGCTTGACGGTGGCGCGGAACGTCTGCTCCGAGCTCGACAGCTTCTGCCCTTCCTCCATCAGCAGCGCAATCTTCTCATCCTTCTCGGCCAGCTTGCGCTCCGCGCTGCCAGGAGGCGCCGCCGACGCCGCCTTCTTGGCCGCGTCCGCGGCGTTTCTGGACAGGTACTTCAGCTTGGACTGCAGCGAGTCTATGCGCTCGACGTACTCCTGGATCTCCTCCTGCTGCCGCGCCTTGATCTCGTCCATGTCCTTGGCCAGTTCCGATATATGGCTCTGGGGTGCGGCAGTGGTGGCGGCAGCGACAGTCGGTCTCGTCGCTGCGTCGCCGTCATCTGCCGCGTCCTTCTTCTCGTCGGGTGCGGCCGGCTGTGGCGATTCCGATTTCGGTCCGGCCGATACATCTTGCCCAGGGGGCGCGGGACTGTCGCCCTTTTCTGCTGCCGCCGGCGCCGCCTGCGTAGCGGCCTCTTCGGGCGGGGTGTCCGTCTTGGCCGCCGGCTCGTTCTCCCCGTTGTGCGTGCTGTCGATCGAGGGCCGCTCCGTGGACGGTCTGTCGATCGAGGGCCTGTCCATCGACGGTCTGCTGTCAAACGAGCTCCTGGGCGACGCACTGTTGCCTTGTCCAGACTTGGCGGCCATGGCTTTGGCCAGCCTGGCCTGTAGGCGGTCGTTGGGGTTCCCCCGAGGCTTGGACGAGGACCGTGTATTGGCTGCCGTGCGCGTCCGTGGTTAGCAAGGGTCCTACGACGTCCGTGTCATGTGAAGACGTACCCGACTTTGCCGCCGCCGCTGCCGTTGCCGTCATGGGAGCCTGCGATTGTGGCTGCGGCTGCGGTTGTGGCTTCTTCTTGGGCGCGGGACTGGACGTCCAGCCGTCGCCATCGTCATCGTCGGCTCCTGCAGCGCCCTCGGACAGCATGTTGTCGAGGCGAGACTCTACGCCTGCGACGGCCGAGGTGAGGAATGAGCCCCATCTGGAGGCCGACGGCTTGCCAGGCGCGGCCATGGTGGCGGGGTCCGGTCAGATCGAGGGAGTGCAGGCCGGAATGGGCCGAAGCTGCTGACCCGTCAGGGAAGAGAGAGTGGTGGAGGGAGATGAGATAGAACAAAACGGGTCGTGCGTGTTGTATTCTTCCTCGTTGGCGACGACGGCGTTGCGTCGAAGCTCGGCACGTTTGTTGGGCGGTTGGCCACATTGTACGAAGTAGGAATAAATAATATATAAATCATGCTGTTATTAAAGCAAAAATCATTGGCATCTCGGCCGAGGGACGTATAGTGGTGGATCCCCGCTGTAGGACAGATACTAAGCCTCTAAAACTCTGATACGAGGTCCCTGTAATTCCTGTCGGGGATCGCGCTCTCTGGTACTTCCTCGTTGCGTGCTTCTCCTCTAATCTGTACCCTGGCTGGTATCGATACTGCAACCACGAGAGGCTCTCTTCGTCACGTCTATCGAGCCCCCTGCATTTGGTTGATCATTTTCAATATTTCCTCGTCATCCACCCGTAGAGGGAGCACAGGAGGGGGTACCAAGACTGTCACAAAGGTTCCCCCTAGAAAGGCCATTCATTTACTGGTGAAGAGGAAAGAGAAGAGAAGAAGAGAGCGTATGTTGCCTCATGCGTCCCAACACCAACTCTACTAGGCAAATAATACTAGTAGCATCTCCCGTCTCTCCTTCGTCACCGAAAAAAAAAAAAATCTCCATGTCGTCCGTCGGTAGGGGTATCGAATTGGCAGAAAAGAAAAAAACACAAAAAACTGACGGTTTTATCTTCTTTGCAGTCAAATGAGATGGGACAGATGTCGAAAGAAGAAGAGAGAAACGGGAGGAGAACGGTCCACCCCATCATCATCCAGAGAGAGATACCACCATTGAAACCAAAGTTAACACCAGAGATGCTACCGCATAGATCATAAGACAAAAACCAGACGATCGCTCTCCTCGTCGAGCCGCCCGCTCAGCTGAGAGTGAAAGAGCATGATTCTGGACAGACAGGCATGAAAACACACACTCCCTAAGCCTGAGAACAATGCCGTATTCCCCCCCCCCCTTTTTTTTTTTTATAGCCCCTCTCGTATCCTTTTCCTCGAACCTCTCAACCGGCCAACTTCTTCCACCAACTGGTCTTAGGCGTCGTAGCAGTCTCCGGCGGGGCGAGGACCGAGTTGTGACGGCTTCCGTGTCCATGTCTCTCGTCGCTACCGTCCGAAGCAGCCATGCGTCTCTCGCGTTCCCTCTCCTCGCGCCGCCTCCTCCGTCGCTGATCGTCCGTCTCGTCGGCCGTCATCTCCGCTCCGGAGGCGCGGCCCTTCTTCCGACTCCGACGCGCCTCGCGACGAGCCTGCTCGTCCACGCCCTGCTGGTCTGCCGGCGGGGGCGGCGCGTCAGAGTGATCCTTGACCCACGTGGACGTCCCCGACACAGGCCAAGCCGACGAGCTCTCCCGCTCGGAGTGGTGTCGGCGTTGCTTCCGTGGTGGGGCCTCGTCGACCGAGGCATCTGTGGCGCGTCGGTTCAGCCTCTCGGTAGGCCGTACTGGGTCGCCTTCTTTGGCGGCCCGCCGGGCGTCTCGCTTGCGCCGGCGCTCCGCCTCATCATCTGACGGGTCGACCTGGTGAGGCTGGGATCGGCGAGGGCGCTCTCGCTTGGAGGTTCGGCGCGCGGCTTCGTCTGCCTCCTCAGCAGCAGCAGCAGCAGCCTCCCTCTCCTTGCGGATACGGCGCCGCTCAGCCCTACGTGCCTCCCTGTCTTCTTCTTCGGCACGCTGCTGCTCTTCACGTTGGCGCGCGGCGCGGCGCTCGGCGCGGCGCGCCTCCCGGTCCGCATCTTCATCTCCTTTGCGCCGGCGAGCACGGTGTCTCTCCTTATCCTTGCGGGCCTCTGCTGCCTCCTCGGCCGCCGCCGCCGCAGCCTCGCGCTCTGCTCGCTTAGCGCGGCGCGCTGCCCGTCGTGCCTCTCTCTCGGGATCCGCCATGGGCACGTCGCCGTCCGTGACGGCACCCCTGCCCTCGTCGTCTGTCGTGGTGTACGTGTTGCGGCGCTTGACGGGCTCGACACGTTCCGCCTTGGGCGTCATGAAACCGCTGAACAGGCCCGAGATGACGCCCTTCCTCGTTGTGGACGTGCCGCGCTTCGAAGGTGTGCCGTTGGAGCCGGGCGCATCCGTCATGATGACGTCTTCGTCCTCCACCAATGTGGCGCGCCGCGAGCGTCGGCGTTCAGACGTCGGGGCGCGGCCTTCGGCCTCGGCTATCAGCCCCTCCTCGTCACCGTGGTGAGACCTACGAGGCTTGGAGCTCTTGCTCGACATCTTGTCGGCGCCCACACCCAGGATCTTGGCAGCCTTGGATGACATCTCGGGGTGCGATTCCTCGGGCGGCGGGGAGACGAGGCCGTGTGCGTCCACCGAGGCCCGGCGCGACGATCGGCCATTTGTGCTGGCCCGCTTCTCCCTCGTCGGCATGGTCCTCGAGACGGGCGGCGTGCTGCTGAAAATGCCAGACTTGCGGCTGCGCCTCTCAGACTTGTCGACCTTCTCAGCCGAGCGCTCCGCCTTGTCAGAGCTGGACCCCTTGGACGAGCCGCTCTTCTTCTCCTCCTCCTTGTCGACCGATCGCTTTGAGGACCTCTCCTTTTCAGCCTTGGATCGCGACGACGACTTTTTCTCCCTCTCCTTCTCTCTTTCCTTTTCCCTCTCCCTCTCCTTCTCCTTCTCCCTCTCCCTTTCCCTCTCCTTCTCCCTCTCCTTCTCCCTTTCCCTCTCCTTCTCCCTCTCCTTCTCCCTCTCCTTCTCCCTCTCCCTCTCCTTCTCCTTCTCCTTCTCCCTCTCCTTCTCCCTCTCCCGGTGTCGCTCAGCACGCTCACGCTCGGCACGCTCACGCTCGGCACGCTCAGCACGATCGGCGCGGTCCCTGGCCCTCTTCTCCTCCTTCTTTTCTTCTTCCTTGGCGGCTCCAGATGCCGTCCATGCTCCCCACGATGAGCTACCGTCGCGATTGACCTTGGGTCGATCCTTCCGGGACGATGACTTGGGCTCGGGGGGCGGGGATGGGGGAGCGTCAGGGACGGCCGGCGGAGGCTGGGGTACGGGTGGAGGCGCAGCATCCGCAGCCTTGGACTTGCTCTTTTTGCTGCTGGTCTTTCTCTCCTTCTTGGGAGATGGAGCCGTCATGTCGGGCACGGGCTCGTCGTCGTCAAGCTCCTCGGGGAACGTTCCAGGTATCTCGGAATCCTTCTTCTTCTTCCTGGAGGATGGCGGGGGCACAGGCAGTGGCTCCTCCTTGATGACGGGCTCTGGGGGCGGCGGGGGTGGTGGCGGGGGTGCCTCGACGACGGGGACCGACTTGGACTTCTTGGACTTCTTCAACGACTTCTCCTCCACCGGCGGCGGCGGCGAGACCGGCGGCTCGGGCGGTGGGGATGGCGGGGCGGCAACTGGCTCGGGCTCGGGTTCATCTAGCGGGGGTGGAACCGCCTCGAACGTCTTGAGCCTTTCGGCGATCTTGCCACCAAACGACTTTCGCGATAAGCCCAGGAACCCATCATTGTTTGATGGTGTCGTGTCCTCCGGGGGAGTTTCTATGAACGGGATGAGTCAGTAGCCAATTTCCTGAAAATCGTACCAGCACCAGGATTGTTCAGAGTTGTGAGTGGGCGCGCGTCGCACACACGAGATTCAAGTCAATCCCATCATAGTTAGCGTGATACCGGGGGGGGTTCGGTCTCATGCTCAGCCGTTCTGCACATCGGATTGCACTGTGCTATCGTTTGCGAGGGAATCGAGGGGAGAGATGTATGACCAAAAAAAAGATGAACAGGAAGGAAGAAGGGAGGGGGGGGACGGGGTAAAGACAGTAAGCGCAGTGAGAAAAAGAAGACGACAAGGTCAAAACACATACCCTTCTTCTTCTTGCTTCCAAGGCCCCAAAAGCTGAAAGCATCATTCGTGATCTTGGGCTTGCGGCCCTCATCCACCTCGGCCAGTAATCTGTCCACCTCAGCGGGATCCAGCTCCGGCTCCGGTTCGGCCTCGGGCTCTGGTTCCGGTACCGGTTCAGGTTCCGGCTCCGGCTCTGGTTCCGGCTCTGGTTCCGGCTCTGGCTCTGGTTCCGGCTCCGGTTCCTTCTCCTTGGTCTTTTTCTTATCCTTGGAGGACGACTTCTTCTCCTTCTCTTTCTTTTTTTCCTTCTCCTTCTCCTTCTCCCTTTCCTTTTCCGCCTTCCTGGCCTCCTTGGCCTCCTTGGCCTCCTTAGCGGCTTGCTCCTCGGCTTCTTTGGCAGCAGCAGCAGCAGCAGCAGCTTCAGCAGCTTCAGCAGCTTCAGCTTCGGCCGCCTCGGCAGCGGCGGCAGCGGCGGCAGCGGCGGTGGCCTCTTCATCTACGCCACCGTCACCCCTGCTGTCAATCTTAGCCTTGAGCTCATCGTACCTAGCACGATCTGTCTTGCTCAATTTGCTGCGCTTCTCCTTCTTGGCCTCGAGGGCGGCAAACTCTTCGTCTTCGGCCGCAGCCTCAGCGGCGGCAGCCTCAGCGGCGGCATAGCCTTCTTCGGGTGCTTCGGGGGCGTCAGGCACCGGGGGGGGCACTTCTTCTCCTTCTTCCTGTACAGCAGGATCGGGGGGGGCAGGAGGGGGGGCGGCCTCGGCAGCCCTCTTGTTGGCGCGCTCCTTAAGCTCATCGTACCGGTCCCTCTCGCTCTTCTTGACCAATCGTCCCTTCTTGACCTTTTTGTCCTCCAAGGTTGCGAGCTCCGCCTCCTCTGCCGCGATCTCAGCTTCCGCTGCCTCCGCAGCAGCCTGCTCCGCAGCCTCGCGGGCGGCCTGCTCCTCCGCTTCCTTGGCTGCCCTCTCCTCAGCACGCTTGTCGGATCGTTCCTTGAGGAGGGTATGGCGATCACGCTCCGAGGCCTTGGACAGCTTGCCCTTCTTGGCTTTCTTGATTTCCAGGGCTGCTAGCTCGTCCTCTTCAGCGGCAATGATGGCCTCATCTTCGACTTCCGGAACAACGGGCTCCTCCGCAGCCGGTGGGTCAGGAGCCTGAGGCGGGACATCTTCGATAGGCGGCGGCGGCACCTCCTCCTCGGCCGTGGGGGCCTCCCTGGCTGCGGCCCGCTGATTGGCACGCTCCACGAGGACTGCGTACCGCTCCCGGTCAGCAGCTTTGGATAGCCTGCCCTTCTTGGCCTTTTTGATCTCCAGGTCGGCAAGCTCTGCCTCTTCGGCAGCAATTTCGACGTCGTTGTTGTCGTCCGGGGAAGCAGCCTCTTCGGGAGCAGGCTGTACGAGGGGTTCCGATTCCCGCTCGGCGGAGGGTTGTTCAGCAGCTTCCTTTGCTGCGGCTCGCTGATCGGCGCGCTCCTTGAGCACAGCATATCTCTCCTTATCGGAAGACTTACTCAGCTTTCCCTTCTTGGCCTTCTTGGTCTCCAGTTCAGCAAGCTCCAGTTCCTCGGCAGCGATCTCGGCGTCGCTGACTTCGGGGACAGCAGGGGTCACATCGATAGGCTCTGGCTCCGGCGCCGGTGGTTCTTCGGCCGGTTCAGGCGGCTCCTCTGGTTTATTTGCGACAGCATGCGCAGCCCGCTCTTCGGACCGGCCCTTGAGATAGTCATATCGTTCCTTGTCCGAAATTTTGACAAATTTGCCCTTCTTTTGACGCTTGGCCTCCAGGTCGGCAAGCTCCTTCTCCTCGGCGTCGATGACTGCCTGGCTGATCTCGGGCTCAGCGGGGACCGACTCAGGCTCAGGCTCAGGCTCAGGCTCAGGCTCAGGGTCAGGCTCAGGCTCTGGTTCCGGTTCCGGTTCGGCCGTGGTTTCGGGTTCCGGTGGATCGGGCACAGCGGGAGGTGCCATGGACGCAGCGATGGCTCGTTTGACGGATCGCTCCTTGAGGTACTGGTATCGCTCCTTGTCCGAAGGTTTGACGAATTTGCCCCTCTTTTGGCGCTTGGCTTCCAGGCCAGCGAGTTCGGCCTCTTCGGTGTCGATCTCGGCTTGGCCATCTCCAGACTCAGCGGGTGGTGCCTCGACAGCCGGCTCAGTTTCAGGTTCGGGTTCAGGGACAGCGACGGCGGCCTCTTCAATTTCCTTGGCTGCCTTGTCGGCCGCTCGCTTGTCAGAACGGCCCTTGAGGACCTCGTATCTTTCCCTATCGACCGACTTGTTGAGCCTACCCCTTTTAGCCTTCTTGGTCTCCAGCTCGGCAAGCTCAAGCTCCTCGGCATCGATTTCAGCTTGAGCGACCTCAGGCTCAGCTGGTGCTGCAGGCTCCGGTTCCGGTTCCACTTCCGGTTCAGCAGCAGCAGCGGCGGCGGCGGCGGCGGCGGCGGCGGCAGCCTCTTCCTCAGCGGCTTTCGCAGACTTCTCTTCGGCACGTTTGTCGGAGCGCTCCTTGAGGTAAGCGTGCCTATCCCGGTCGATGGATTTGGCAAACCTCCCCTTCTTGGCCTTCTTGATTTCCAGCTCGGCCAGCTCGGCCTCCTCAGCATCGATCGCCGCCTGGTCGTCTTCGGCGGCGGCGGGAGGCTCTGGTTCAGGCTCGGGCTCAGCAGGTGCGGGAGGAGTCGGCTCTGGCTCGGCCTCCTTGGCCGCCTTCTTGGCTGCGCGTTCGGCCATGCGGCTTTGCAGAACCTGATAGCGGTCTCTGTCGGCAGACTTGAGGAGCCGACCCTTCTTGGCCTTCTTGATTTCTAACTCAGCCAGCTCGGCCTCATCTGCCGCAGCCTCAGTATCCTCGGCCTCCTGTGCTGCAGCGTCGCTAGCATCCGGCGTGATAGGGGGCTCTTCGGGTGGCTCGGGGGCTGCAGGCACTTCTGGTTCAGGGGGGGGGGCAGCTGCCTCGGCTTCCTTGGCGGCCTTGTCCTCAGCCCTCTTTGCAGCCCGATCCAAGAGGACCTGGTACCGTTCCCGGTCAGCCGCCTTAGCCAGCCGACCCTTCTTAGCCTTCTTATTTTCCAGCTCAGCCAGCTCAGCCTCTTCACTAGCGATCGCGGCCTCCTCAGCTTCGCGGGAGGCAGCATCTGCGGCGTTCTCGACGGCGGCCGAGGGCTTTTCTGGAGCGGGAGGCTCCTCTGGAGCGGGAGGCTCTTCTGGAGCGGGAGGCTCCTCGACTGGTGGTGGTGGAGCAGCTTCCGCGGCGGCCTTCTCCTCGGCCCTCTTTGCGGCCCGGTCCAAGAGGACCTGGTATCGTTCCCGGTCAGCCGCCTTAGCCAACCTGCCCTTCTTGGCTTTTCTGATCTCTAGCTCTGCTAGTTCAGCCTCCTCCTTCTCGACCTCCATCCTTTGCGCTTCGCTAGCACCGTCGTCGTCCGGAGGGGCATCAGGGACTTCGAGTGGGATTTTGGGCTCAGGTTCTGGGGTGGCGGCGGCAGCAGCATCAGCGGCGGCCTTTGCCTCGGCCCTCTGGTTGGCTTTGGCTTTGAGCTCGTCGTATCGGTCCTTGTCAGTCTTCGTGACGAGCCTGCCCTTCTTGGCCTTCTTGGTCTCAAGAGCAGCGAGCTCTTTTTCTTCAGCGGCAACCTCAACTGCCTCTGCTTCCTGGCGTGCCTTGTCTTCGTCGACGGCCGGCTCCTCAGGCTGCGGAGGAGGTTCAGCAGCGGCAGCGGCGGCGGCAGCGGCAGCCTCCTTGGCTGCATCTTCCTCAGCCCTGGCCTCGGCATGGGCCTTGAGAATGTCGTAGCGCTCCTTGTCCTTTTTCATCAGCTTCCCACCTATCCTCTTGGCCTTTTTGGACTCGAGGGTTTCGAGCTCCTCCACTTCCGCTGCAATCTCGGCGGCCCGGGCGTCAGACTTGGCCTTCTCCTCAGCCTCGGCCTCGGCGGCGGCAGCTTCGGCAGCAGCTTGGCTGGCGGCAGCGGCTTGCTCCTCAGCTTCCTTGGCAGCCTTGTCTGCGACTCTCTTGTCGGAATTCGCCTTGAGGATCTCATAACGGTCCCTATCCTTCTTCATCGTGAGCTTGCCTTTCTTCAAAGCCTTCTTCGCCTCGAGCGCAGCCAGTTCCTCCTCCTCAGCGGCGATCTCGCGAGCCTCAGCTTCGGCCTTGGCCTTCTCCTCCGCAGTAGGCTCTGCCTTCTTGGTCCCTAGATCCCAGTCGTCGTTGCCGTCCTCTGCCCAAGAGAAGGCATCCTTATTCTCCTTCTTGCCCCAGGAGCTGAAGAAGTCGTCGCCGCCGCCGCCCGCGGTGGGGCCTTCGTCAAGCTGGATCAGGTCGTCGGTGGCCTTCTTGTCCTTGTCCTTCTTGGAGCCGCTACCCCACGAGTCCCACGGGTCGTCCTTTTGGGAGTCGTCCTGGACATCACCGAGGAGCGTGGTCTTCTTGTCAATAACCTTCTTTGCGGAACCCCAGAAGTCCCAGCCGGCACCTCCAGATCTTGCAGTGTCCTCTTTGGGTTCATCGTCGGCAAAGAGAGAGTTCTTCTTTTTGCCTGTGGCGCCCCAACCGAAGTCGTCGTCGAGGCCGGTTGCTGCCGGGGGTACGTCGTCGTAGAGGCCGCCTTTCTTGCCCTTCTTGCCCTTGTTGGCTGCGCCCCAGAAACCGTCTGTCGGGGGCGCATCAGGGGCTGCAGGGGGAGTGTCAGAGGGGCTGGCAAAGTCGTCGAGGAGGCTCCTCTTGGTGTCCTTCTTGGACCCGGGGACGAACCAGTCGTCATCGGCGGCGGCTGGCTCGTCCTTCTTTGCTCCATTCTTGTCCCAGCCCCACGAGTCGGTAGGGGCGGACCCGTCCATGGCCCCCAAAGCGACGCTGGACTTGTCGTTCCCCTTTTTACCTCCCCAGGGGTTGGAATCTTCGGCGCCAGTGGTGGCAACTTTGCTGCCACCACCCCAGCCCCAGCCGTTCCCGCCACTGGTCCAACTGGTTGCCCAGGAGCCTAAACCAATTCTCGTAGTAGTCGTACCAAGGTGGAGGCCTAATTTCGAGTCATCACCCAGCTTGATCTCCTGGAAGGTGTCGCCGGGGTCAGCCGAGGGGTCGTTGGCGACATCGGCATCGCCTTTCTTCTTGTCCTTGGCGCTGGTGAAATCTGCCCAGCCTTCTCCTCCGTCGCCGCCATCTCCATCGTTCCCGGCATCGCCGCCGCCACCACCGCCCAGACTTTCATTGTTACCGGCGTTGCCCTCGTCCTTTTTCTCCTCGCTGCCGCCGTTGTCACCGCCCCCGCCCCCGCCGAGGGGCATGGGCGTGCCGGCCGCTTTCTTCTTCTTCTTGGCGTGTTCACGGTAGCCGCCCTGCCACAGGAAGTCTACCGAGGCTCCGGGGAAAGGGTCCGGCAGTAGACAATTCTCGGTGGGGTGCGCTTTCGCTGAGGCCGAGGTGGGCTCCGGGGATGTGTCTGGGAGATGGGGACCGTTCTGACGGGCATAGTCGTCCGTTTCCGGGGGCGTCTTGCTGCTCTCATCGGGGTACTCTGGGGGTGGTTCTGGTAGCCTGTGGTCGCGAGGCTCCCGGCGAGGCCACAGCAGCGGGCTCTGAAGGGTTCGTTTCGGATTTGAGGAGAGGGAAGAAGTTGGGAGTGTGATGTGTCGAGTCTAAGTCGAAGCGAACAAGGTTAGCCCTTGAGCAAGAGACTGACGTATCTGCTATGAAATGGCAGGAGAGAGAAAGCAGGTGTGCACTGATATGACGTTTTCGCGCCTTGGAAAGTGATGGGGTTTCGGCGCGGGTAGATGTGGGAAAGAGAAGAGGAGGGAGGGGTAAAAGAGAGGTGTGGAACGATGATGATGATGATAGTAGTGGAAATTCGAAGGAACAAAAGCGAGAGGAAACGTACAGAGGGAGTAGATTTGTGCCGACAACGAAGCCAAGCTTGTGCGATCAAGCCCAGCTGTGCGCAGAGGGATCTCTCATCCCACCCAGCCCGCGAGGTAGTGTTTACTGACGACCCAGGACCGTCTGCGCTGAAGCTTTCGGTGAACACCAACACTTCGGCCGTAGCCATTGTGGAAGATGTAGCTCGTATGCTGCTGGCAAATCGGAGTCGCAATCATGGACGCTGCTGTGGGACAGAGGCTGTCGCTAACGAGGGAAGGTTCGTCGGATCGATTGTTGTGGATTGATCTTTTTTTTTCTTCTTCCGTTTGGGTTGAGGGGAAATGCGACGGTTGGCCGGGGAATTTCAGCTAGAAGAGGCCAGCCCCGTCGGCTGTGTCGTGAATAATTGGTAGGTGGGTTTCTGGTTATGCGCTGTGTGCGAGACCGGAATCTGCGTTGAAGCAAAATAAAACACCAATCGAGAACCTCACAGAAGTCGGCAACGATTTTTCTTTTTCTCGAGCCCTTCCTTTGGAGGTCAGGACAGAAAGCTGACGACCCTGCCACCTTATTTTTTTTAAACCCCAAAGAGAAGAAGTGTCAAAGAGAGAATAATAAGTATGATGTCGGCGACAATCCCAGGGCCCCCGGTCCGTTAATATGATCCTTGTCCCGTCTCTGGCGTCACTGTAATGGACGACTTTTGCTGGTCTAACCCCCGCACGCCCGAATCAGAAACTAGGAGCGTGTTGCAGTTGTGCAGTTCACGTACGTACGATGTAGGGGCGTGATGGCAATGAGACAAATCAAAGGGGTCCCTTTCTTTGGCCTCTTCCCCCCCCCTAGTTAATCGAAGAATACCACCACACAAGGGAGAAAACGGAGGGTGACAGTATTCCCCCGAGTTGACCAATGATTGCTCACTTGGCCTTCTTCACTCTGTAAAGGGATAGTCGACGACCCCTCCGGGGCTAGAAAAAAAGGGTAGAGAGGAAGGGAAAAAAAAAAGCTGGGAACCAGCAGGATTGACGAGGGGTAACGAACAAACAACAATATACCCGGTTCACACGCACAGAGAGGGAGAAAGTGTGTGAGCAGGAAAGAAAGAAAGAAAAAGAAATGATCGGGTAAGAAGAAGAAGGAAAATTCTCGTCTTGTTCATCACCAAACCCCCCCCCTCTTGTGATGATGTGACTGACTTCTCAGGATACTACGACGGCGTAGTACGAGTATTATTACTGGTAGTAAAGAGGCGCGGCAATGATCATAGGATGTGGGAGACCCCAGCACTTTAATAAGGCCCACCTATCGGGTGGTCAAGTGTTTAAGTGGTCGAGTCGATCGAATGGTGGTCCGAGACGATGGATGTCCTCTTTCTAGTAAGAAGCAGAGGCACTCGCTGGCATCGTTCCATCTCTCCATCCACCTACTCGGTCATATGTATTATTATTACTGCTCCTCCTCCGTGCTCCGTACTAGCTGGTCAGTCATGAACAAGTACGTGGTAGAAAGTACGAGTAGTAAGTAGCATTGATACCTGATGGTCCATAAGGACGGCGCTGTCGTGCGTGTCCACTTTGGAAGGCCGGACCCGTCTGCCGGAGCCTGGCCTTTGCGGCCGATGGCATGAGGCGAGGTAATATCCTGCACAGGTAGGGTGGCCCAGCCGAGAGAGTGTGTGGTGTGGTGTGGTGGGTGTGGTGTGGTGGTCGCGGTCGCGGTCGTGGTCTGGCCGGTGCTCTTTTCGCTCCACGAGTATGACAAGCTTGATTGTCTCGGTTATCTTGATCGACGGGGACGGGCAGTAAGTATGTCGGCTGTGGTTGACATCTGTGCCACTACCGACAAGAGTACGAGATGTAGGGGTAGGGAAATAGGACCACTACCCGTAGGTTGCTACTACTACTGCATTCCGCCGAGATAGTACGTTGTTAAACGTGGGAAAAGAAGAAGAAAGATCAGAGGCAAGAGCGAATGCCGCCCCTGCTGTTCTAGTCATTCCGTGTAAGGAGGCTGGGGGCGGGGCAACAGCGGCAGGACCATCAATAGCAGCTGCCTCATTCACGCTGGCACACGCATGGATCACGGATGTGGACGCGAGTATTACTAGCAGCACACCGGCAGCCAGTAAACCACTAACGTCACTACAATGGTCGATATATGGTCCCTACCAACGCTCTAGCCCATGATGCGTCGTACTTTACCCGTAGGGAACTGGGATCTTCCCGCCACTCGCACCACCCGCACCACCCGTACCACCCCATGACCACCATCATATATCTATGCTGCATCCATCCGAGCACCGCAACTGGCTGCCAGTGACTGGCATCGTTATCCTATGCAACATATACCCACCACACCAACCATCATCAGCACTTTCATCGGGCAAGGCGTCCTTTCCTAGGTCCTCCCTGACCCTCCTTCGACCTCTCCCTGCTCGGCCATGCAGATGATAGTCCACCCCAAGCATGCTTCCTACGATGGCACGAGGCCACCATCCATCATTCATCACCTTGCAGCAGCTCCTCATCGGCAGCCCCTCCCTCTTGTTCAATCGTTTCTTTGGTTGATCGGGGTTGATGTGCGCGAGGCAGCGCAGCTCTTGTCCGACACGGGACCGTCATCCTGTCCTATCCATGGACCATGCCCATCCATGCACAGGCGGGAGGGAGATCTGTGGCCGTGACCGACATATGTACAGAGTATGCGTAAAGAAAGAAGAAGAACACCCCCCCAAAACGAAACTGCAGGGCCGCTGCACACTACGGGGGGGGGGGGTAGGTATTTTTGCATACGCATAGTCGTGGCCAGACCACCTCGTCCCCACTCTCTCGAGGCATATTACTTACTTTGATTCTGTAGTAGTCTCTTTATATCCCTTTGTATGGTGCTGGTAACCGCCGAAACTCGACTGCCTTACAGAAGGTGTACGGGCTGCTTTACGAATATCATTGTATCGTTTTGACGAGAAATTCTGTGCGATTGCACGTGTGTGAGTGCGTGCACCCATGTTTGTCCGTGCATCACACCTGCACACAGCCCTTATCTGGGCGGAGGACAGGGAAGGGTCGAGACAAGCAGAAGCAGTCAGTCATCTCACGCGAAAGACCTGTCCCAGAAGCAAGGTACCAGAAGATGGAGTGGCATCAGCGACAGCACAGCAAATGTACGTAATCGCGGTCGCTCTGCCACGACAACGATTCCCATACGCAGTATTACTACGCAGCATTGCTACGCAGCGAGCAGATGAAAGAGGCAAAACAAGGCCAACGAAGTGCAGGCAAGGTACTGCTACCTGCGGGGCTGGGCAGCCATGCGCCAGAGCCCATGTATCCCGTACTTGTACAGCCAGCTCTCTCCAGTCTACACATGTACGAGTAGAGCTCCGGTCTCTCGTTGCGTCGTTGCGAGCACGTCGCCCAGGCCAAGTTCAGTCCATGCCCTCGTGGTGCGACAAAAGCGAGACCACTAGCTTCCGAGTTGCACGACACCATTCGTCATTCCACGCCCAACCCCGGGAGCTGAAAGGACCTTGTAGCCATTCAAATCACTCCCCGAGCCGTTGTCGGGTTTGCCGGGTCCCTCGATTTTCTTCACCGCTCAATTGAATGTGGCTACCAGCAGCCAAGTGGCAGAATACGTGTACTTGTATGTGTTGTACGGGTACGGCGTAACACTGGTGAAAAAAAAAAATTATTCATGGGAAATGTGGATGTTTTCTTCTTCTTTGTTTTGCTTCTGCTTGCTTGCTCGCTCGCTTGTTTCATCTCCAGCCTCCTCCATGCATAGAAGACTTTGGAAGAATGAGCTGCATGGAGATGGGCCCGACATGTCGTCGTGTTGTTATTGATGCTGCTGATCAGTGTGTCATGACCGTGGCCGGCACCGGCTGCGGAATGGTACGACTGTTCAAGACTGTCCCCCGGTGGACGGGCATGGGGCCAACCGATGTGGCCCAGAGCCGATGATGGTGTTTTCCAAGATTCGATCACTAACATCGCCATTGGGGCCACCACCCGATACTTCGAAGCGGTGATATGGACACATCACGACCCTGCTACTCGACCCCGCGATCTGTCCCGGTCCATGATTCGGTCTTGTCAACTGTTGCAGAGCTTCAACTATTGACAATAGCGGTTATATTGCCACCCCAGGTCTCGCTGGCATGATTGTTCTAACCTCTTTCAACTTGACCAACTCGCCTGTATAAAAAAAATAAAAAATAAAAAAAAAAAAATAAAAAAAAGGATTCAACGAAACACGTGCGGGAAATGGCTCAAAGCCGGGCAGTGTGCCTTTCTTGGAGGACTGACCGGCTGTCAATATCGCCAAGCTCCACATTGTGGCGTCGTCCTACTCGTCCAAGTGCTGTCTAGGGCTGTCTGGGCTGGTTCTAAGGACGCGGGTTTTTCCACTCAACTGTCTATAGAGCAACCAGTCTGTCGGACCGTTCTGAGGTAGCGGGGGAGTTTCCCGAGAGCGAGAACCAACAAGACCGAGGCTATTTGTCGTGCCGTGATTCTGTTACTGCTGGTGACGGTCCGAGTCCAGGCTCCGCGATGTTAGGTCTCGTGCTGATATCAAGACTATCTAATATGATGGGACGTCCCATCTAATAGGTAATCTCCCTCCACCACTCGGCCTCTCGCCAACGGCATCTATCCCCGAATGCCCAAGTACACTCTTCCAGAGCGGCGGCATTTAGCATCGGGGTGGGTCAACATGGCACTTGCAGCCGGAACTGTGGATGTTCGGAGTCCTCCGGCCGGTTTCTCGATTATGTACAGATTACATGTACGAGTATACGAGTATATGTACTCATATTGCTCGTGCTCGTACCCGTAGATGATGATGCTCCGGTCACGACTCACAGCACAGTAATCATCTGTACAGATTGTTGCCACTGATATGACTAGTACGAGCAGTGTTACTCCGTATGAGCATCGTCGCTATCAAATCAGAGATGGAATTATTTGACGACAATGGCCGTCGCGACAGCCGGCATATGTTCAACGGCGATAGCCTTCATCCTGAGAAGGAACCGAAAGCCTGGGCGAGAAGAGAAAAAGAGATGAACCAGACAAAACGCTGTGGAGGGTCCCTGTCGGTTTTTTTTTGGCCTCCCCCCCTCTTGACGAAATCCAGTTAGGACGATACGAGGCTATTAATTAATCTTGTTTCCCTCTCATTTCTTTCCAACAGAAACAGAAGAGAGGGAGAGACCAAAGTAAGAATATGAACTGTCCAGACTGGAATACCATCAATTGGCAACTTGTTATTCATTTTCTCTCCCCTCATCCCCTCTCTTTTCCTCTTCGCGCGACGCTTGATGGTATTACACAATCTCACGCGCCCTCGTCATATCTAAACACGGCATAATCCCCCCCCGCCCTGCCTCGCTCCCTTGCCCTGTTTACCTCGCTCTCTCTCTCAGTCTCTCCATCTCTGTCTTTTTTTCCGGATACAAGTTGAAACAAATCATCTCCTTCTCTTCTCCATCCCCCTTTCCTCCTTGTTCCTCTCCCTCTCCGTCTCTTCCCAAGCTCCGCCTCCCCCCCCCCCCCCCCCCCTTTCCTCAGCAGCAGGCATGAAGAAGAGCAGAAGCAGGGTATAGCCGCCGTCGTCATCGTCATGAGAGTCCAGCGTCAAGTATCCGTCACGGTTCCCATACCGTCGCACATCCCGCCCAGCGTCGTCATCGCCACACTACAGACCATCAGCCCTGTCATCCGCAACCTGGGGACCCTCTCCCACTTCGAGGAGACCCCCGAAGGGGGCGGCCCCGTCGCCAACGACGCATTCTTCTACGGTCCATCCTCTCCCGAACCCTCCCTGACCGCAGCCGCCGAGAACAACAACAACAGCAGCAGCAGCAGCAGCAGCAGCAGCAACAGCAGCACGCCATACCATACCCCCACGAACTACAGCAGCTCCGGTCATGTCAGTAACGGAAACGAGAGCGCGGCGACGAGGTCCACCCCGGGATCCGTGACGAGTTACCAGATCTTCGAGCTCATCACCCTCGCCCCCGGCCTGACAAAGGAGGTCACGTACCCTGCCTACTTCCAGCGCGTGTGCGACGGCATCCGCGTCAGGGCCAACGGCGCCGCGGGTATAACGGGCTGGTGCGAGTTCACCGTGCGGCCGCGATACACCGATGCCAATATCAACCCCAACCCCGACAACGTCAACGTCAACGTCAACGCCAACTCCTCCCCGCCGCTCGCTTCACCAAACACGAGCACCGGCGCCAGCGCATACACGGCGGACGGAGATGACGGCTCCGCCGCCTCGCCAGAATACTCCACGCCGGACGCCTTCTCCTCGGGCACGAGTCCCCTGTCGTCGTCGTCACCGCTGGGGAACGGCAGGCCCGTACCGCCGCCGCCGCCACCCACGGACTACGACCTCCACGAGGCCATCGTCGTCGAGGCGAATTCCCTCCTCATGCCATTCGTCTGCCATACCATGCAGATCGCCCACCGAGGGTTATGCTCCAAGGTCATACAGGAGGCTGAGGATAACATCGTCCATTTCCAGGCCTGGGATCAGTCCGTCTCGTCGTCATTTGGCCAGCAATGATATCGGCTGCTCGAATCTTGACCATGCCCTTCACAATGCATCTCGATTATTCATTCACTCCTACTACTTACTACTGCTTACTACTACTACTACTACTACTATTATCACCATCACACATCATCACCATCATCACATCACCATCATCACATCATCACCATCATCACAATACTGTAAACATACACTGAACGCTGCATGTATATAATTGGGGCACAGCACATTCAACAGGCAGAGGGCGAGTTGTTACTTTTCCGTGGACTTGCTTTTTCTCAAAGAATAAAATAAAAATAAAAATAATCAATCACTTGTACGTTTCGACTACTACTGTCGGAGGGAGTATTCGTGACGTATTATCCTATCGACAATCCATCACCGCAATGTCCTCGTTTTGTAATATATTGCTACATCTTCACACACACATATCCTCCTTCTTCCTCTTCTTTCCAAGAGTTGCTCAAGACAGGTAAATCAACCCCGAAAACTTCATTACTATGTACATACATTCTAAACTACCGTCCAGTCTTACCAAATAGAGTAAATTTGAGTTTACAGAAGAAGAAGAAGAAGAAGAAGACCCCTCAAGGATGGTGAAAGGAGACAGTAGAACAACAATAAGGATAAATGAAGAAAACCCCGCTTTGGTATCATTGACCAGCTCCGTCTATTCCCAACCGTAAATCCATAAGGCGAGGGTGGTGTTTACCATGGGTCCCGTACTCGTATACTATCAAATGATCGCCAGAATCGCAAAAAGAAACAAAGCCAGATCCGGAAGAAGACCAGATAGTATATCGGATGGATATACCAACAAGACAAGAAGAAGAGAACATGTCGGACAGACACAAGAGACAGAAGACAGAGACAAAAAGAAGAAGAAGAAGAAGAAGAGTAAACAACAAGACGAGGCACTCCTCAAAAAAGAGACTCTCCTTTCAAGAGTCCCTTTAAATCTCAGAGTCATGAGAAAGCCCTCGTCCTCATTGAAAAGAGCAACAAGGCGCAGCATATAACGGCCCGGAAGGCGAGGTAGGGTATATACAATAGGCGGGGGATATAACAGAGCCGAGCGTGCGAGCCAAACAGAGAGGGGGCGGCAGTCTAGTGTGCGAGGAAGCAAACAAAGGTTGAGCGTGCGAGGGGGTGGGTGAGAAAATAAGGCATCACCTCGCTCCCATATCGCTCACGTAGCCCATCTCGCCGAAATTCTGCCCCATTCCACCCTCTCCGTACCCCGTCCCGGGTCCACTGACGTAACCTCCGTCCTCGCCGTCGTCAAAGTCGCTTGCGTCAAACGACGAACGCCCGCTGATGTCCTCGTCTATGCCGCCCATCTCGGGGCCTGCAAAGCTCATCTGCGCCAGGGCTGGGTACTGCGCGAGCAGGGCGGCGGGGAGGGCAAAGTGGCCTCCGGCGTCCATGGGGTAGCCCGTGTCCGGGTCGACGCGCATGCTCTGCGGTACCATGCTGTTGTGGTTGACGCTCTGCTGCAGCATCTGGTCGTCGGTCCACTGGCGCTGGCGCTCCAGCATCTCCTCGTCTAGCAGGGGTTTGATGCATATGCGACCGGCCTCGGAGCGGAAGTGTCGACCCAGAGCGTCTGCGCGGGCGAATCGCCGACCGCAGCCCCACTGCCCTCCGGCTTTCAGGTCGCCCTTGCAGACAAACTTCTTCTCGCCCGAGTGGAGACTCTCGTGTCGCTTCCGGTCGTGCTGGCGCGCAAACGCCTTGCTGCATACCGTGCACGCAAACGGTCGCTCGTCTGTGTGGGTCCGCAGGTGGGATCGCAGGTTGTACGCGCGCGTGAAGCGCTTCGGGCACAGGGTGCATTGGAACGTGGCTGGGTGCTTCTGCACGCGCTTGCTGGTGCCTGCATCCTGTCCCGTCTGGAACTCGGGGTCCGCCAGGCGCAGGGCGATGACGTTGTTGGGCACGGACGATGTGGATTGCCTCCGCCTGTTGGGCGACGCGCCCGAGTGAGGCGACAGGGACCGTGAGACGTCGGATCGCGGAGACGCAGCCGAGCTCGGCGAGGGCGATTGGCGATGACGGCCTGCCTGGTTCGGCCGGCCAAGCATACCGCCGGATGGGTGGAAGGGGTCCGTAACTGCGCGTTGACGACCTCTCTGACGACCTATCCCCAGACAGTTAGCAATCGGCCCGACCGCGCCATGTGCGCCGCATGTACCGTGCGCCCCTGCGGTGAGCCGCGATGGCCTGTTGACTGGTACTGACCTCGTTCGGGTGGCGTTAGGGAGGCCTGGTCAATCTGCTTGCCACCCTCGTAGCCGCCGGTGCGCGAATTCGTCGGCGCATAGTCGATGTTGATGGACGGGGGCGCCATCTGCGTCATGTCGGCGCCGCTCGATTGCGGCAGGTTGGGGAACATCTCGTTCTGGACCGGATAGGTGGAGTAGCCGGCGGACGGATCCGCGAATCCTACGCTGGGAGGGGCGAGGCCGTAGCCCCGGGCGCCCATGTCGGGTATCTGCTGAGGGTGAGCGCGGGGGCTGATGGCGGGGCTGTGAGACGGGCTACGCCCCGGGTTCACGGGACTGCCAACGTTGGGATCCGAGATGCTGAAGTTGCCGATGCCGAGGACGTCCTGGTACATGCTCCCATCCGAGGCCCTCTGGAGGGGCGAGTGGCTGGAGTCGTCGAAGGAGTCGGACGAGATGAGGTTGGGCGAGGGCGACACGGACGAGACGTCGGAATGCGCCGACGGGCTACGGCGGTGACCCTGAAACTGCGGCTGGGACCACTCGCCCATCTGGTTGGGGAGAAGGGCGGCCTCTGGGCCGAGGGAGGCATGCGACGCGTGGCTGGGATTTCTCGTGTGGTTACCGCCACCCAGGACAGGCGAGGGGAACTGGGCCTGGTGGGTGAAGGAGGGAGACTGGTGGGCCGAGCCGGGATGCTGGGCGCCGTCGGCAAAGAGGTGAGGCGGGGTGGGAGACGAGTGCTGCTGGGGCGAGGCCATGGAGCCAATGTCGTTGGGGCTGAGGCCCTGGTCAAACAGCGGTGCGCTGTACTGGTCGGGCTGGCTGGTGGGAGGCGGGAAGAGGGAGAAATCGCCGTCGTTGAGGTTGGGCGAGAGGTAGTCGCCTTGGGGCTGGGGGGGGAAGGAGACGGCCGGGTCGTGGGGTACTGCGCCGGACATTTGCTGGGTGAAGTCGGGGCTTGGATCGTAGTAGCTTGTGTTGTTGCCAAAGGCGTCAAGGTTGGGGTCGGTGCCGACGGTGTATGGCTGCTGCTGCTGGCGATGCTGCTGGTGATTGTCGAGGGCGAGGCCGAGGTCGGTGGATGGGTCTCCTCCTACCGTCTGATACGGAGCCGGGGACGGTGAGGGGGAATGGGACTGTATATGAGGAGGCTGCTGCTGCTGCTGCTGCTGATGATGATGATGGCCGACCGGGGGCGACCGGCCGCGCTGGGACTGGTGGTCCATGCCGTGGCCGGGCTCTGGACGGAGGGCAAGGCAGAAAGCCGAATCAGCCTTCTCAGGCACGGGAGCGACGGGAGTGACGGGAGTGCCAGCGCTTGGCTGCAAATCGACAGGGCTGTGTTGCGATATATCGGGAGAGGGTCCAGCGCGGAGACGGGGTTTAGGGCGACGGCGGGGAAGAGGAGGGGAGGGGTGTGTGTGTGTGTGAGTCTGTGAGAGGACGAGAGCGTGTGAGAGGGCCGCGTGGCAAGTGGGCTTGTATGTACGTGCAAGTGAGTGCGTGTAAATATAGATGTGCCCGCCGTGCGCGTGTGCGTGTGCGTGTACGAGTACGGGTATATCGAGTATATGCGTCCGGTTTGGTAGTGGTGGTGGTATGGCGAAAGGAAACAATCACCTTCGTACTCTGGGTATCGTGGTTCTGGGGTTCGGGGTTGGTCTGGCCTCGGGGTAGGATGATGACAGCTTGTCGGGGAGTGGGATGGGACCTGGAGAGGGGCACGGGGGGACTCGTGGGTGACCTTGGGTGACCTCGGGTGACTCTCAGGCGACTTCTGGGTGGTGGGTGACCTGTAGACTTTCAGGTGGGGGACCTGTAGGCGCTGCAAGCGCAGTAATGGCAGACGACGGGACAGCGGGCAGGCCACGGGCAGGCAACGGGCTCGGGGAGCGAAGTCTGACCGGGAAATCTGAAACGGGTCTGTATATGTATGTGTGTGTATGTGTGCGTATGTGTGTGTATATGTGTGTATGTGTGCGTATGTGTGTGTATGTGTGTGTGTGTACGGGTTAATATGTGCCAGGTGTGGGGAGAGAGATGAGGACAGACGGCAACAAGGTCAGGCCGTACATAACTCGTACGAGTCCTCGGATCGGTAAAATAATTATAGTAATAAGAATCATAATGCTATCATCACTCCCGCCTTAGAAGGAGAAGAAGTGAGGACCGGCAAGGAACAAGGGCCTCTGGTTAGTCTTGTCGGTGGGTGCTCCACGATGAGGCTGTGCAGTTCTGGCGGGGAGGGAACCAGCCTGTCGAATGAGCATTGAGGAGGAGACAAGGTGGGAGATTTCGGAGGGACACCTTGGCGAGGTACGAATGCTACGGGTGATGATACTACTACGAGTGCACATCACTACCTGTAGGTACGGATACCTGCTGGAGATGGGTAGATTTAGTATTAGCAGCGATGATGCTCCGTACATGTACGGGGGAGTAGTGATATATAGTAACCGATGCCCGTACGCAGAGCATCAGCTGTCTCTCCTAGTGGCCGTACTCGTACGTGTATACATGTAGGAGCGATCCCGAATGCGAGGAGACGCATAGCGATGCTGACAACGATGACGACTCACCCGTGCGAAGAGACTTTTGCCGAACAGCTCGTAGGGGCATCAAGGGAGCCCAGAGTTTTCTCCTCTCCTCCTGGTCGATGAATACCACTACTACTGCTACTACCACTACTACTGCTACTACTGCTACTACTATTGCTGCTAGTATCGACTATTACTCGTACTAGCAGTGATACTACTACTAATAGTACATATCGGTATAGTATGATTATTAGGCGCGAACCGGGATTTAGGTCGAAACCCATGCAGTTTAATCAATGCTCAATGCCCACTCATCAACCCACCTGTATTCCGGCTTCGAGAAAAGACAAGTGACGTGCCAAGGGGTTCGGGCCCGCGGTCTCCGTTTCAGCTATGTGACAACGAGTCTGCCTTGTCTCTGAGATGGGGGTTGCCTCTTTAGTGGAGACGTTGTGATTTGCCTGTACGGGTACGGATATGTATTGCATGCAATACAAGTACTCATACATGCAGCACGCGTAGTAGTAATATCAGTACTAGTCGTTGAGTATTAATAGCAATAATGTTTCTCATTCTCCCCATCTCCATCTCTCTCTCTCTCCCTCTCTCCCTCTCCCCCTCTCCCCCTCCCCGTACCTCTCTCTCTCTCCTTCTCTCTCTCTCTACTCGTATGCGTGTGTGTGTGTGTGTGTGTGTGTGTGTGCGTGTGTATGGGTGTGTATGGGTGTGTATGTGCGTGCATGTGCGAACGGATATTACCCTCAAAGTTCCCATCACCGTGCAGTCGGCCAGTTACATTCACCGGATTCCACAACGGGCCAGTCTCTCGGTACATGTATGAGTCTTTCAGGGGGGGGATAGAAGAGAGCAGGTCTTCTATGCAACTGCCCCAACCGGTTGATCTTGACAAGGGGCAGGGGCCAGCCAAGAGACCAATGAGCAGATGCTGTCATATCCCTCCGGTCGTATTACAATGATGCATGCGCAAGCAGACAGACATGTCCGTATAATGCACAGCTTAACTGTATTACAGACCAGAAAACAGCGATATCGACGGACAGCCGGACAGCGGACAGCGGACAGCGGACAGCGGACCAGGAGAAGCGTGCAGTCGGCCTAACATTTGACTATCGACTCACAAGTGACCCTCATATAACCAACCCCATCGATATACATCCATCAGCCAGCTCCCTGCGGGATGACGACGCGGACTAATTCTTCCCCCCGTGGCCATCCGTCTCCTGCCGTCTCGATCATCTCCCGTCTCACCGGTATCCCACCAAGACAGCAGAAAAGGGCAGTGAGGTGAGGGGGGAGTAACCGGTCTCGAGTTTTGCGGGATTGAATCGCGGCAGTTAGTATCTCGAGTGCCGTGCATTATGATACATGCACTTTTACTTTTACGGTACTAGATCGTAGTATTATTACTGACTAGTATCAATGGTAGCGTAATCAATCGGTTCGGCTGGCTATTATTAGCAGTGCATGTGCCTGTCCTCAAGACACGCAGACCAGAGTATCGAGTTAAGCATATAACCGCATATGTACTGCCGGTGATTGATCAGTGATCATCATGGCCTTTCACGCGTACCCGGGCTGAGTCGATGTGGCTTATAAGCCCTACATCCCCCAAAACGTTCTATTAATACAGACAGAAAGATCCATGTAGACTGTAGCGAAGCTCTCCCAGCTTGGGCTGAAGGTGATCATCAACCACCCCCCCCCCCCCCCCCCCCCCCATCCGAGCATCCGGCTTCGTAGAAGAGAGTCCCCGCTCTCTCGGGTTTAGGCCTTTGAAGGAGATCGTCCGAAGGAGTAACCTTAACAGGACCCTTGCCAGAGATCTTCGTGGCTGTGTCTGCCCAACGACGTTCCTTCTGATATCAGACTTCTTCGTACAGCAGCAACACCGCATACACAAAATCAGCATCGTCACACATGAGTGACCTCTGACATGCGCTTCGCAGCCTGAGCTAGAGGAGCGTCTCCCGTACACGCCCAGAGACCGCATGGACGAGGGTAGATCAGTCCTTTCGAGACAGAAGTCGATATGGATGGAGGCGCAGCAGCCATGGCGCCAACTCTCGGCATCGGTAATGAATTTCCAGATGGCCAAGCCGGCCTCCTCCATGACACTACGAGTGCATGTACTTGGCAAGACGTAACGGCCGCCAGAAAATATGTCTTTCCAGAAACCACGGGAGGAATCCTTATCGTACACGGCCACATCGATTCGAGACATCGGTCCCCTAGCCTCAACCGCCCCCCCCCACCCCCCGCTTCCCGTCCCCCATATAGTACATGCACGCACATCGTCACTTCGATGATATTGGCTTGTGCTAAAAATGGACGCATGTCCCGTTCCTCCATGGACTACGGAGTAGCCGCTAGTATCAGTATTTCTACGTGCCTCAGCGGGAAGCAATCACTGCTTGAAAGGAAGGGTACGTACATATAAACGGCAGGCATCAATATCGGCACTACTATTCCAGCTTTGATCTTTTTTTGGTTGGAAAGCCAAGAAAACAACCCCCCCCCCCCCCCCCCCCCCTCTCACCCCCTCCCAGCCTCGGTCGATTACGCGGCCTAAGCCGTCTTTTCTAGATATGCATATCATCGCTACCCGAATTGAAGATTCACGGGAGCTAAGATGCGGGATGTACACATGTTTCGTAGATGAAACCTGACTTCTGCCTTGTTTCCTTTTGCTTTCCATCTCAATCTATCCCTTGGTTACTAATAATAGAATTACATAGGAGCTGAGAGAGAAGAAACGTCTGATGATGTCAGATTTCCGTGGTTTCATCAAATGCCGGTAAGACGTGGCTGTTCCGAGGAGCGGAAAGAGCGGTTATGATAATACAGTATTGGATAGGAGTGTGTGATGCGTCCCATGGAAAAGTCGGGATATGCGAGCACACGTCCCACGTACTTAGATAACTTCTGATCGCTCGTAGCCGGTAGCCTTGAGAGCAGGCTTGGGCACCTCACGGTCCTTGAACTTGCTGACAAAGGGGTTGGGATCCTCGATCTGAACGAGGTTTCCGAGCGTGTGATTGACGCCCCGATGTCCGGCCTCATCGGCGCGGATGTACAAGATCAAGTGCTTCATTGTGCGGCTCCCCTCCGGCATCTTCCAGTACTGCATTCCCAGGACTGAGGTCAGCAACGTCTGGAAGAAGAGAAGAAAAGATGAAATCATAGAACCGCGAGGGGGGGGGGGGGGGAGATGGGATATGCCCACCTGGACGGCAATGTCGGGGATCTCAAACTTGGGGTCAGACCACTTGGGAAGGTGGCCCTGCTCAATCTCGTAGATGGCCCTGGTGTAGGTATGCACGGCCTCCTCCTCGAGGTAGCCAACAAATCGGTGGACGATCTTGGGCGAGAAGAGGTACGCGGCAAACAGGCTATTGAAGAAGACGCCCTGCGCACCGATGATCATCGTCTTCATGAACCAGCCAGGCTCACACATCTTGATAAAGGTCAGGAGGTGCATCCTCTCATTGTAGCTCTCCTCGAGGAGAGTCTCGATCCACCCATTGTCGCGCTTCATGCGTCGGAGACTGCTGAGGTGGCGGAGCATGCCGCCCACCATGCCCGGCACGCCGGCGATGCTCTCGAGGAACACGAATCGCACAAGCTAAGAAAACATCATGTCCGTCAATAGCGCTTTCATTCAAGACGGGCGGGAATGAAGAGGGGAAAGGAACAAGGTGGGATAAAGAGGGGAGCCATACCCATTGCGCCTCGGTAAGAGGCTTCTCAGCCTTGAGGGCCGTGGTGGGATTCCTCCTATCCACATACTGCGAGCGCTCCATCCCCGTAGCCTTGTCCATCCAGTACCGGGCAAGACGAACGATGCGCCAGGCCGCCCTGTCACCCACTGTCTCGGGCTCTCGGTGTCCCGGGGCCACGGCCGTCATCTCGTCCATTGTGTAGCCCGGGTGGGGCCATGCTGCCGGGGTGGTCTGGATGTGGGGTGTGTCCTTGGGCGGGAAGAAGTCGCGGAGCTGGATCGGGCGGGTTGTGGAGAAATTTCGGCGGGACGGCGACTGGGGTCGGCCAAACTGGCCGGTGTTGATGCCGCTGCAAGCCACCACCTCTGCCAGGCCGGAGGAAGCATATGGTGAATATGGACGAAAGTGTCGAGTCGGGGACTCTGCATGGCGAAGAGCTGCTGTCCAGGTTAACCGTGCCATTGTGTGGTGTGTTGAAGGTGCCATGGAAGGTCAATGATAATGCCCAGGACAGACTATTGTCTGAAGGTTAGGCAAGTGAGTGGTAAACCCTGTTAAAATAACTGGGGTATTTTATGAATGCTATGCCGATTCTACGCCTCTTCTCCTCCCTCTCTTTTCGCCTGGCTCTCGTGGCCCTTTAAATCCAAATGGCTCTCACACCGAGTCAGACGACAGACATCCTCGGGCTCTCAGGCTCAAAAGGCGCCTCAAAGAGAGCAAACGAGCTCACGAGAAATGACCGGGACGGCAAGACATGGAACGTGACCGCGCAGAATTCGCCAGTGCGAGCTTCTCTATGCGAAACGTAGCATAACAGCAATACTCGTACTGGCAATGAGAGTAAGCTGGGTCGGAACAGGCCGGAACCGGTAGCAAAGTTCAAGGTTTTCGGAACCATGACAAAGCCTACCAGGTTCGGCGAGCGGGTGCCGGAGATTTGTGTCATCTGGTATTCGACGATGTTGAACGGCGACCAAGATGATGATGCTTTCACCATGGACGCGGTCTTGAACGGGTCAGGGTTGTTGGTGACCTCGAGAACCGAATGCGTACGAGGTCAGCCAGTCTTCATTCCACCGCAGTGGCGACTACCAGTACCATGCTCTGGAAGCTGCACATAATGGCGGCGTGGCTCACTGTATCGAATGATACTTATGGTTACGTATCATGGACAGCGATATCATCCGTTGTCTCGCCGTAATAGAATGGCAAGATTGCAGCGGCATGCGCAACGGTAGTTACGTCGGACGGGAATCGTTGACGCATATCCTATGGGGTAGGTGCCCGACAACCCGGATACCTGGCTGGTACGGCGAGTGTCATGTCAGACGGGAATACTTGCTGTACACGTATCACGTACTGGGGAGCATAGACAAAGAGACGTAGGAGCACTCGTAAACTGCAAAGGGATGGGACAAAGGATTGGACGACTCCGGCAGAGAGAGGCGCCTATTGTGACAGTTGACTCACTACTGGAGAAGACTCTTGTCCCATATGACACAAAAGGCCGAGATTTGGTTTACTGCGCCAGTCGCTGAACCAGTGGCAGCTCACCCACCAACGCCATCCCTACATGGGAACCCCCGATGTAGGAGGCAGAAGAGAGAAGAAAGGTCGTGTTGAACTTTTGGAGCATACGGAGGTGTGGATCGGCGCCGGTGTCCGTGATGCTTGTGCATGGTGCATGGTGCAGGGGTGCGATGACGGATGGCCCGTGTGTCATGGCTTCTGGTGTCACATCTGTGACGTCCAAGAGTAGTGGGCGAGCCAAGGCAAAGGAGGGGGAGGGGCAGCTGGATTAGTCGCAGTCGTCTCCGAAATAGGCGTGGGCTTTACTGCGCGTGATATGAATGAATGGATGCCTCTTTTCAACGAGACATTTTTTCTTGTTATTGTGGGAATCTGCGCACAAAACTGCAGTGTTTGCAATATTCATATTGATATGTCGTGCAACAAGAAGGAGGGAAAGAGTTGTCATATTGACGAGTGACGTATGCTGGGGATGGACATGGAGGGGGGGGGGGGGGGGGGGG